TTAACATAGAGGACCAGGACGCTCACATGGAAGAACAGCCTTAAGTAAAGAGTGAGCTTAGAATTTGGGAAAAAAATGTGCTTTGTGTCTATCCACAGGAAGCTCTTGTAAACTGTGGTGACCACACACCAGTGAGCACATTTGTCATCCAGATCTTTGCTGATACATACCATGTCCCACTATCCTAGCTCGAAAATGGGAAACCTGAAATACTTTGTTGTAACAGAGGGATAAGACCCAAAGATTGCTAGAACATATTAAAAGGGCGTAGAAGCCTAACAATTTTGAGTGTCTAACAGAATGTGTATTGTATACGGTAACCTGTTGAAGTGTTTTTAAGTTCAAAGATGTAAAATAATGTTAAAAAATAAAAAGACAGTGCTGGCTCAGTGATTAAGGTCACAGTCTGGCTCTCCAGCAACCATTCCAGGCAGCTCACACCCCTTAACTACAGCGCCAGGGAATCCAATGCTCTCTTCTGGCCTCTGTGGGCACCTGTGCTCAGGTACACAGACCCATAGGTAGACACTCATGTACACATAGTTAAAAATAAAAAACAAATCATTAAGCAAACAAGAAGTGAGAGGGTTACATCTGTACAGAGACAGAGAGAGAGAGAGAGAGAGAGACAGAGAGAGAGAGAGAGAGAGAGAGAGAGAGAGAGAGAGAGAGAGAATGACGAACACATGAAAAGACAGTCAATGCCATTAGTTTTGGGTAAAATGACAATGGCAAATGTGGTAAAGATATTTCTGTAAACCTGCTATAGTAACAGAAAAGGCTGGCAGTGACTACTCTTGGCCAGGAGTTAAGGTACCACATACATGGAGAAATAGACACTCAGTCACTCATGCTGGGTGTAGAGTAGCAATTGTAGCCACTTGAGGAAAGTCCAGCACGTGCTCAGGTGGTTAAATGTGGAGTTACCGTAGGATCTAGCAATTCAGCTCCAGTATGTGAAAGGTGAAAATAAATGTCCATACAAAAGCCTGTCTATAAATGGTCCTGGTGATATTGTTAACAAGGGCAGAAAGGTGGAAACGACCTGAACTACTATGCCTGTGTGAGGGAAGTTGCTAAGCAACAGAAGAAATAGGAGTGAAGATGCTCCAAGTTGGGTGAGCATGAATACGCTATGAAACATGAAAGAAGGCAGTCATCTATGATTGTCAAGCTATTGTCGTCCCTGCATCATGGATTGACTCTGGAACTGTGCTAATGTACACTTGTATCTTCAACATTTCACCCATTGGTGGACCTCCCTGAATAGTGTGATATTTGCATAACAGTGATTTCATCACTTCCAAGCTTTTATTGGCATTTCCTAGGAGTCTATTAACTGAATTGGGGGGGGGACATTCCCCCTCTTTCCTGCCTTCCTGCCTCCTTCTCTCCCTCCCTCCCCTTCCCTTCTTTCCTTCCTTTTACCAGTATGATTTGTGGAAATTAATTTTATCCTCTAGATTGTTTCTATCAGTGTTGTTTTTTGTTGTTGCTCAAAATTTCCAGCATTGGCTATCAGAATCTCTTGTGTGTGCGTGTGTGAGTGTGAGTATGTGTGTGAGTGTGTGTGTGTGAGAGAGTGAGTGTGTGCGTGTGTGCCTGTGTGTGTAGGTCAGAGGACAACTTTTGGGAGTTGGTCCTCTCCTTCTACCTCACTGAGGCAGGTAGGTTTCATTTTATTTTCTGTGTGTGGGTGTTTGTCCATGGAGGTCAGAAGAAGGCATTGCACCCCTGGAACGATAGTAAATGGATGCTTATAAGCCACATGTGGGTCCTGGGAACTGAACTCAGGTCCTTTGCAAGAGCAGCAGGTGCTCTTCACCACTGAGCCACCTCCCCAGCCCCACGGTAGTGTGTCTCTAGATGTTTCTGCCATGCATACTCCAGGTTAGCCGGCTTGCAAGTTTACTGGCGATTCTTTGTACCCTGCCTCCCATCTCACGTGAGCAGTTCTGGGGCTACAAATGCGAGCCACATAGCCAGCTTTTTGTGGACTCCAGGATCAACACCGTGTCAGGTTTGCCGTCCTACTAACCCCGAGATTGTGTTCTATTTCCCCGCCCTTGCTGTGAGACTAACTTTTTTCCCAAAAGCGTTAATTCTTTTATTGAAAATGATATCTGAAAGCCCAGATCTGGGCATTGCCACCCTCGTTGCTACGATGGTGTCATTTCGGGCACACATGACAGACAGGTCTAGGAAGTTTGAGTGTGCATGTTAACCCACAAAGCACTCATCCCCCTTCGTTTCTCTGTGTACATTTAAATAAGGAGCTCATTTGAGACCTCTAATCTAAAACAAACCCAGCTTCACCTTGGCCTTTCCCCTTCCCCTGCATGTGACTTCTGTTTCTAACAGGAAGAAACCGCTTCTTAGCTAGCACACATTCTCCTGGGCTCTTTGGTTGGTTATTGTAATCACAGGACCACATCCCTCTAAGAAACTGCTTTGCTGGCTGAAGCTTTTGTATGTGGTCCTTTGTCTTCAAATTTAGATGCAGCAGCCAAATTCTAGTTTGTTTCACCTAAGAGTCCCTCTCAGCCACGCGTTGGTGGCGCACGCCTTTAACCCCAGCACTCGGGAGGCAGAGGCAGGCGGATCTCTGTGAGTTCGAGGCCATCCTGGTCTACAGAGCAAGTCCCATGACAGCCTCCAAAACAATACAGAGAAACCCTGTCTCGGAAAAAAAAGAAAGAAAGAAAGAGTCCCTCTCTTCCGCCTTGAGCGGTGGTGTGTTCAGAGACCTGAATGTCTCTCCTGGTCGCCATTCTGTCCACAGACTTCCCAAACCCATATACCTGTAGTTATATAACCAGGCTTCTCCTGGCTTCTCCTGTGTTTGTTAGTTTGTGGGTTTTATAGAAATGAGAACCATGTTTTTCCCACCTACTTTTCCTTACTATTTTAAGTTTTTTTCCCCTGTGGTTCCATTTCATTGTGGATTTCTTTTGTGCCCGTCCTTTTATCCTTGGTCCTGAACCTTGTCCTCCTGCAATGTTGTAGCTGCGGCTGCTTCTTTGCTAACCTGGCTGGACTCTTCCCCACTTTCCAGACAAGAGCAAAAGGCTCCTGTAGATCCCCTCCGCTTTGCTGGCTTCCTCTGCCCCAAGCCACCAGCCGCCCATCGTGGCGCTGCCTTGTCCTACTCCTCTGTATGATCTCAGCCTGGTGTAGCCCCAGATAATCACCTCACAGGTTTGCAATAAATGGCAACTGAATGGTGAATGACTTTCAAAAGACTTCCCAGAGCCCACATGTTGGTTAATGAGCTCTGGAAACATTCACAATGAAATCTGACTACTTTCAGGTAGAAACTGGAAACAATCTCTGAGGTAAAGGCTCCTCAGTAAAAGCTATTCTAGGGGATCTGGAGAGACAGTGCATCAGTTTAGAGCACTGGCTGCTCTTGCTGAGGAGTCAGGATTCAATGCCCAGCACCCTAGTGGCTCAAAAATGTCTGCAACTCCAGTTCCAGGAGAGCCTGCGCCCTCTTCTGGCCTCCACGGGCACTGAACACACATGCATATAGCCACATATACCCACGCATACAAATAAAAATCAAATTAAAAAGAAAACTTTTAGGATACGCACCATTGATCCCAGCACTCAGGAAGTAGAGGCAGGTGGACTTCTGTGAGTTTCAGGCCATCCAAGGTTACATAAGGAGACCCTGTCTCAAAAAAACATTTCTTTAAAATTAGTTTTATGTTTTTCTTTGTTGGTATAAGTTTTCATACTATAAAGTGTTTTTCACCTCTTATTTTGATTCAGGCTATTGTTATAATTTGTAGATGCTAACTGTATGTAGTTGTTAACTGGGTTGTGTCATTTTCTTAAAAAAGAAAATTAAATCAATATAAGTCAATGAACATCTCTTTCTTTCAAAGGAGCCAGGTGCATTATGTCCCAGCAACAGCTTCATGCACCTAGAACAACTTCAGACGTTTATGTTTCAAACAGTGCCACACAGTCTAATGTCTTGAGAATGCAGCAATCATGGGTAATCCCATTGGTTTTGTTAATTTGAAAATAAACTAACATTCATCAAGGGCTTCCCATGCACTGTATATGTGTATCCCTATTTAAAAATGTTTATAGTAGGGACTGGCTATTTGATTTGGTGAAAGAGTGTCTGCCTGGCATATGTAAAGCCCTGGATTTGTATTTTTTCTTTTCTATGCTAAATTTGGGGAGATAAGGTTTATATATTATATTAATTTACTAAGATCTGTAAATCAAGGCTTCCCTTTCTCCCGTGGCCTTTGGTAGACATCAGCATGGCATTCTACTTACCAAAAGGAGTTAAATGAAATGGGTCTCAAGCATTCAACAGCGCTTACTCCAGAAATTAACAGCCCTGGGTCTGTTCAGTAAGCTGGGTGTGGTGGCCCAAACCTCTAATCTTCACTGTCTAATTCTGGGGGCCAGTGCGGGCTCATGAAACCCTGAAAACACAAAACAGCAGAAATGTATTTCTTGTTCTTTATATAAGGAAATGATACCTGGATGGAATGAGATGTTCTAAAGAAAAGGAAATCTGGTATTCCCTCCTCAAAACCGGTATAGACTATGCAAAGAAAAAAGTGTTGCTCTCTAAATTTCTGTGTGGTTAGTGCCCAGTATTGGTCAGCACTGAGCTTGTGTGTGTGTGTGTGTGTGTGTTTGTGTGTCTGTGTGTCTGTGTGTATGGAGTGTGTGGTATGTATGTTTGTGTCTCTGTGTATGTGTGAGTGTGTGGTGTGTTCTTTGTGTCTATATGTGGGTGTGTGCGTGGTGTATGTGTATGTTTGTGTATGTGTGTGTGTATATGTCTGTGTGTGTGTATGTGGTGTATATGTGTGTGTTTGTATGTGTGAGTGTGGTGTGTGTGTTTGTGTGTATGTGTGGTGTATGTGTATGTTTGTGTATGTGTGTGTGTTTGTGTGTGTGAGTGTGTGGTGTGTGTGTTTGTGTTATATATAAAAGTGTGTAAAAAGAGAAACTTTTTTTTTTGGCAGGTGTCCTTGTAGACCTGGGTCTGGAGGAAAATGGGATGGCTCATCAGAGAGCAGAAAAATATGTTGTTCGCCTGGACAATGACATTCAAAGCAAGTTTGAAGCTTTTATGAGAAGGGTGAAACAGAATCCATACACACTGTTTGTGCTGGTCCATGACAACTCGCATGTGGAGCTAACGAGGTGATTGCTTGTGTGTGAGCAGACCTAGTGTCTCTTCCATAGCTGTATTGGTACCTAAGGAAACCCTTTACAGGCATGCCGTGAAGGCCCAGGACCCTCACCTTTGGTGTCTTCCCGTTGGTAACTTCCTCCTAGTCATTCCTTGACCCCTCAACTGCTCTGTCCCATTTACACTGATTTTCATGTTTTGTCACTATTGATTTGTTTTATGCATGTCCATTCATGTAGCACTCATGCTCTCTTAGAGGTCAGAGGACAACTTGTGGAAATCAGTTCTCTCTTCCACCATGTTAGTTCCTGAAATTGAACACACACACACACACACACACACACACACACACAATTACACAACAAAATGAAAAGAAAATAGAATAAAATGTATGGTTTTGAGTTTGCATGATAACCTGGCATACCTAAATTGAACAGTACTGAGGAAACTTCTAGAGGCATGACTATCTGGGTCGTGGGGTTGGAAAGGCCTCCCAGCCCTCCTCCTAGCCCTCCCCCAGCCCTTCCCCCAGCCCTCCTCCCAGGGGAGAAGCTGAGGAGGGAAGGAGACTACTGTGGGTGAAGGTCATTTCAGGGCTGGAAGCTTCCACAGTAAAACAATACTACTCAACACAGATGAGCTACTGCGGGCCGTGTGACTGAGTTTGCACTTAGAATAGCTTAGGAACAAACTGAAAAGCCAGGAAGCGGGGAGTCCCCAAAAAATCTGTCTATAAGAATATAATTTTTTTATCTTTTAAATCACATTTGTTTTAAAATGTGATTTAAAGATCTCATTATATAGCCCAGGGTGGCCTTGAACTACCAATCTTCCTGCCTCGGCTTCTCCTGTGCTTTCTGATTACAGGTGTACATCCCCACACCCAACTCTCAAATCCCATTCTGACTGTATCTACTCCGTGCTGTCACCTGCGCCTGTATCCAGTCAGCTGGGTAAGGAGGCACTGACGTGGCTCTCGCTCTCTCTGCAGTGTGGTGTCAGGCTCTCTGTCACACGGTGAGCCGACTCACGGACTAGCAGATCGAGTCATTAACTGCAGAGAAGTTCTCGAAGCTTTCAACCTCCTGGTGCTCCAGGTGAGCTCCTTCCCCTACACCCTGCAGACCCAGCAGTCTCAGATCAGCTCCAGCAATGAGGTCCACTGGGTCCAACCAGACACGACGGTGAGTCCTCCATGTCCAGCCTTCCTCAGTTCCCCATGAGGCGGGACCCGGGACTAAACACGGCCATGACTTGGCAAAAATACAGGTCAAATGGGTCAAGACATCTGACTAACATAATGCTGCATTTTTTGTGTGGACACAATTAGTTTGGAATGGGATCTTGCTCTTTTGCCCTGTGTGGCCCTGGCCTCCTAGCCCTTCCTTATTCTTCTGAGTGCTGGGACTATGAACACTATGCCTTCATGTGCTAACTGCAGTTACACGACACTAGACAGCTGCTGAATAGTGTCCTATAGAAATCCATTGCATGGCTAGTCTTTAGGTATGTGTGCATGCTGTAGATACAAAATCAATCATACTATGTAGATTTAGTATCCAGGTGTGGTGATGCGGCCCTGACATCCCAGTTCTTGAGATTCTGAAGCAGAAGGTCTGCAAGTTTGAAGCCAGTCTGGGTTGTATACAGAGTGATGCCCTATTTCCAAACAAACAAAGAACAGTACACCAGAGCATCATTAAAATCCTGCGTGAATTCAAATGGTTAATTTCAAAGTACAGGGGTGGTAGCCCGTCGGCAAAGCCCCTGTCTAGCAAGGATGAGGCACACGGTTCAATCTTCATACTGAAGAAGACAAACTAAGACTGGCTTTTACACTGAGACCCGAAGGCTTTGTTGTTTTCTTGAGTAGACTAATAGGCTGACTGATATGTACCTCCAATAATTACCCTCCCCCTCCAACATCTGGATTTTCCATTTCAGTGGTCCTTAGTCTTCGGGTTGATACTAGAGTGACCATGCTGGTACCTTCAGTAGGATTGACTGTTGGGAGTAATCCTCTCAACACCGCACATACCAGACAGTCCTTTATGATTTGGGCTCTAGTCCCTAATATCTGAAAATATTTTCTCCAGTCTATAAGCTGCATGGTAAATATGTTATCAAAAAATAAGTTTCATTAAAAATAATAAACCTGAGCCGGACATTGGTGGCACACGCCTTTAATCCCAGCACTGGGGAGGCAGAGGCAGGTAGATCTTTGTGAGTTCGAGGCCAGCCTGGTCTACAAGAGCTAATTTCAGGACAGCTTCCAAAGCCACAGAGAAAGCCTGTCTCTAAAAACCAATAATAATAATAATAATAATAAACCTTAGCCAGTGTACTGTGGATCCCTTGTGTAAAGATATTGAATGCTTTGGGTATTTAAAAAAAAGTGTGTTTAAGTCAGAAGTAAGTGCATCTCACTGCTGTGAAGCGGGGACAGTGTTGTTGGAACCCTGAGCCTTCAGCGGTTCCCTCACTCTGTTCACATACCAGAGACTATTCCAGGTTGTGGCTTTACCTGGGATCCTTTTGGTGCCAACTACACCCATCCGTTGACTTGTGAAATTAGGATGGGATGGTGTTTTCTCCCTTTGAAGCACAGACTGAGCCTGTGGGCTGTTTGGACACAAATTTGGATTGCCAGTACAACAGACATAAGGGAGAATTATCTTTTGAAACTAGCGAGAGTGTGTGATCCTGGTGACCCTGTAATGTCTCTGGTGCATAGCTCCGTACTTCTACATGGAAGTCTGTGCGTTGGAGACTCCTGCACATGCGTGTTTACTACAGCAATGCTCACAGACTGCAACATGGAATCAACACAACTGTCTGCCAACTAATCAGCAGACAGTGCATGGATACAATGGAACATTGTTCCGCCGTGAAAACAGATGGAGTCTGCCATTTGCAGCAGTATGGGTGGGGCTAGAGAGCACTAGAGAAACTGGGATCATCAAGCACAGGAAACACAAACGCACCTGAAGCTAGAAAGAGGTCTCCAAGAAATAGAGTGGAATGATGCTTACCGCGACCTAAAAAGAAAGCTAGAGACAGGGTGACGAAAGATACAGGTGCAGTAGACACACAAGAGGGAGGACTGCCCTGTTCCATACGCAATAAGGGAACCGTCGATGAAAATAACTAAGTGAATATTGCAAAACGCCTAAGAAAATAGTGAATGTTCTCAACACAAAGAACTACAGGTGACAACTATGCCAGCTACTCTCATTGTGTCATTTACATTATATACACCTACTGAGATGTCACCTGAATGCCACAAGTGTGCACAACTACTGTACGTCAATTAAGGATAAAGATGTTTTTTAAAACCTTTTTTTGCTCTAAAAAGTTCTATTATATTCATGCCTTTACTATGCTTTTTGGCCACAATGAACTCGTTTCTCGTTTGGCCAATCTTTTGCAGAAGGAATCACCCCATGATGGGGAGAAAGGCTTATTTCTCCTGATACGAAATGGCTTAACGTGATTTTCTGTGACTCATCCCTGTGGTTATGGTGAACATTTTAGGTATAATAGTGGTATTGGGGTCATATTTTTAAAAAAGAGTAGTGATATCTGCTAATGAACTTACAAACATGTGATTCTGGGGTTTGTTAAAAATAACTGGGGCCGGGGAGCTGTTATACTCTTTTGCAAATGAAAGCTTAACATCTCAGACTATGGAGCTGGCTTCTCGGGCCCGACAACCTGAGTGTGACCCCTGGGCCACACTTGTGTGAAAGGAGGGAGCCAACTCCATGTAGTTATGTATCACCCTCACGTGTGCACCATAGCGTGTGCACATTAACTACTCACTGTGTGCACGTGTGACATTAACAACTCACTGTACACACCGTACACACAACGATAATAAAGTGCTTAAATGTAAGTTTGAAAAGATTATCCTTGTATTCAGACATGACAATTAGAGACATAACATAATATAATAATAGACACACCTTTGTCCCAGCTGCTTGGGGAACTGAGGCAGAAGGATTACTTGAGCCCAGATTCCACCTTTTAAAAATAATACATTTTTTGTTTTGTTTTTGTCCTTGAGACAGGGTTTCTCTGTGCATCTCTGACTGTCCTAGAACTTGCCAGACTGGCTTTGAACTCAAAGATCTGCCTGCCTCCGCTTCCTGAGTGCTGGGATTAAAGGCATGTGTCACCAAGGGCCTGGCAAAACCAAAATAATAATTTTAAAATAAATCATCCCTAAGGAACTGAGGTTAACAGAGACAAAGGAAAGTGTTGTATTTATCTGCACATGTCACACTGAGTCACCTAGCACCATGTAGGATAAAGGGCCTCACGATTCACTTCTTTTGACTATTCAGACACCCATGTCCGTTGGGGGAAGAAACTGGAGTGTAATAAAGTACTTCGATTCAAAAACCATTGTCAGCAATTGCAGGTCTGTGCCCAGCTTTCCTAGAACACCCACAGGGCTGACAGTGGCGAGGGGAAGCAAAACATTCAGGGACTGAACTCGGGTTGCTCAGTGGAGGTGCCTTTGCCTGATGAGCCATCTCAACCCTGGCTGTCTTTCCCCAAGCCAGCCAGCACCACGGCCGAGAAGGAAAGGGGAGAAGTTAGTACACACAGTAGGGCTCGTCTGCATAACTGTGTTGCAGTCCAGATGAAGGTGGAAGTGGAAATGGGTGGGGGGTTTTCTTCCAAAGTGACCAGTGCAACACACAAGTCCACCGAAAAAGAAGAGTGCATCTTTGCAACTCTCAAATAAGACCTGTGCCAGCAAGCAGGGTTTTTCTCATTTGAAGGAGGGATAAAGTTAGTAACCTTGGAAATGCATGCCCGAAATCTATGCATGATTTGTTAGAAGTGGCTATAATGCTCAGCTTTTCTTCTCTTTTTGAGACAGTACCTCATGTAGCCCTGGCTGGCCTTGAACTTGATATGTGGCTGAAGATGGTCTTGAGTTTCTGATCCTCCTGCCTCCATCTCACAGGTGCTGGCACCACAGGTATGCGTCACCATGCCTGGTTCTATGTAGTGATGGGCTTCCAACCCTGGGCCTCATTTGTGCTAAGCAAGCATTCTCCCAAGTGAACTACATCCCCAGCCCCAGAGGCATTGGATAACCATCTTATACAAGTTCGTGATTATTTAGAGTCTATAAAATAAATACAGGGGTAGCTCGTGAGACGGCTCAATGGCTAGGAGTGCTACTTGCTCTTGCACAGGACCGGAGTTCAGTTTCTGATACTCATGTGGTGACTCACAGCTGCCTGTAACGGAAGCTCCATGGCCTCTGGTGCCCTCTTCTGGCCGTTGTGTGCACCCACATGCATGTGTACCTACTAACATGCGCGCACGCGACACACACACACACACACACACACACACCCTGTCTTCATCGGGGATCTGCTTTGTCTTCAATCAGGAGGATGTGGGCTACGAGAAGCTGTACTTTGGCTTGAATGAGTACAGCAAGTCCCTGCAGTGGGGGATCACCAGCCCACTCCTGAGATGCGATGAGACCTTCGAGAAGATGGTGAGCACGCTCTTGGAGAGGTAAGGAAAGAGCTGCCGCTTGCTTTAGCATAGGCAAAAGCCCGTTTGGCCACGTCACAGTGAGTGCGATGGTGCTTGTACACAAGACACGCGAAGGCCAAAGAGAACTGTCTTTCTCGGGGTGACCTTCTGCTCCCCCGGGTTTACATGACCTTCCAAGAAGAACAAGTGCAAAGCGGCCTAAGTGGGAGACCCAGGTCCCGTTTCACAGGTGTCTCCTTGCGAGCCTCATTGCAGGGGGTCTGGGTGTTGAAGGCCACTCCCGAGTCCTGCCCGGTCTCTTGACATTATGCCAGCTTTGTCCCTGTTTGTTGGTCACTGCGGGCAAGGATCCCTGGGCAGCTCCCTCGGAGCAAAGGCTTTCTTTGAACACCGTGGCTGTGTACTGAAGGGTTCCAGCATCTTCTATCCTGGGGATCCATCCTCGGGTCCCGACCTTCAAGGCTGAGGTCTTAATTCTTCTGCTTTAGGGATAACTCTTCCTGCATACCCAGCCTTCCTTTTATTCCTCTGTTCCAGGTCAAACTCTGGAAGGCTGGACTCTTGGTTTTCTCAGAACCTGATTCATAGGTTCAAAGAGAGTAACCTCCCTTCCTGCCCTCTGGCCCAGTACTGTGTGACCCTCCCACTCTCTGGCGATATACGGATTGCCACTAGGGGGTGCTCTTTCTCCACCTAGCTCCTATTTCCCCCTGCACCAACTCATTTTGGGGGAAAAGATATAGTTCTGCTTCCCATACAGATGACCTCAAATTAGCAACAATCCGTGTGTTGATGTATTTTTTGCTAGTTGTTTTGTTGTTGTAACAGCATCCCATTATATAGCCCGGCTTGCCTGGAATTTGCTGTGTAGTCCAGATTGGGTTTGAATTTTCTATCTTCCTGCCTCTGGCTCACAGGTGCTGGGTAAGACGCGTGCTCTACCACCCCAGCTTCAGTTATCGTTTTTTTAACGCCTGACACGCCAAAAATAATGACAGCAGTGTCTGTTTCCCTGCTGGTGCCTGAGTACTGAGCCGGTAATGCTGCCAGGCAGCACCATGAGTTCAGATCTGGGGACTGGAACTCGTTCACAATTAACCTGCACCCACCAGTGTGTCTCAGTGTTTCATGAGCCCAATTGCCGGTGGGGGAGGGGTTGCTGAGCTGCAGGGCTTGCTTCCGTAAGTCTGGCGTGGGTGGTCTGGCAATTCTGACTTCCGGGGCTGGATCGCTTTGAGAAGGCGGGGCCTCTAGGCCAGCCCCCAAACTCTAATTTACTCCATTTGTTCCGACAGGTTATACCTGCTTTGGAGGTGCAACCGCTTGTAGTAGTGTGGGATCCAAGGTTATTCGGCTCTGTAGTCCCTTGCTCCAGTGTTCCATCTGCATCTTACTGCGCATGCCCGGCTGTCCCAGCCAGCTGAGCAGTAGCTGCCTGTGTTCTGTCGTAGGTACCCCAGGCTGCATAGCATGGTCGTACGCTGCTACCTTCTCATCCAGCAGTACTCAGAGGCCCTGATGGCTCTCACCACCGTGGCGTCACTCCGAGAACACAGCACCCCAGAAACGCTCAGCATTATGGATGACCTTCTCAGCTGCCCGGGAAAAAACAAAAGCGGGAAGGGACACATGCTCATCATCAGGGTGCCCTCCGTGCAGCTGGCGATGCTGGCCAAAGAGCGTCTGCAGGAGGTGCGAGACAAGCTTGGTCTGCAGTACCGCTTTGAGATCATCCTGGGGAACCCGGCCTCTGAACTCCATGTCGCAACTCACTTTGTGGCACGATTAAAGGTTAGCAAAGGACAGGCTTTGTTTCTGTTTTCTAGGACTCTTGGATAAGTAGATCACCCAGATAACTGAGTCGCGTACATTTTCACACACGAGTGTGACCTCCCTGACCAGGCCAAGGTTAAAACTAAAGGATGCACTTGCTTTTCTTAGTTGAAATCAGTCTTAATGATCCCATCAAATCCTTCTTCGTATGTATGCATAGTTGATCTCCACGCTCTTCAAGTGCAAAAAATGAATGACCCAATTTGCCCGCACCTTTCTCTCGACCTTGCTAGAGACACATCTGGCCACTGCCTTCTGCTTTCTCAGGGAGAGGGGAGCGGCTCCCTCCAGCTTTCGCCTCACTGATTCCTCTCTGTGCATCTGGCCTATGTCAGCTGGTGGCTGGCCTGTAAAGTCTAGATGACGTCACCCAGCTCCGGGCATGTGGATTTCCCCGCTTGCTTCTTTGTATTCTGTTTGTCCCTCAGTGCCAGGCTTTGGCTGGATCCACCGCCAGGGCCCCACAGAGGGAGGCAGTGCATGATCCAGCCCCTGGCTACTCCCGTGTAGCCAGGTACTGACTGCCTGTCCCCCATACGGCCTGTCAGGCATGAACCAGCTGTCCTCATGCCTGGCCCAGGCCTCCCTGAGAACTTTTATAATCTTACTTGTCTTGGCCGTTAGAAAGCATTTAGTCAAATGCCCGCGTTTGCATTGATGTGGGGCTGAGCTGGCTGCTGCATGTCTGAGTTAGACTAACATGATGTCCCCACTGTCCATTAAATCCCGAGCTAAACTAAAGCACGTGGTCTTGAAGGATTTGAACCGCATGATTTCCTCAAGCTCCAACTTGGAGATTTTCATTTGTTATTCATAAATAACTTTGCAAATGTTAGATTTCCTGTTGTATTATCTAACCTAAACGGAACAACCCCAAATCCTTGGTAAGCAACTAGAACAAATAAGATTATCCCCAAACTGAAACTCATGTTCAGCAGCCATTACAGCATCTCTGTTTTAGATGTAGATGTAGGCTCACAACTTCTGGGAGAGTGGATTTTCAGAGGTCAGATCTGCAGCTTTTCACCGGAGAAGTTTCTCCCAATGTGTAGGGGGAATCAAAGCATTCATGCCTAGCATGAGGCTGGCTCTTGGTGTTGTTTCTATGCAACTGCCATTTGTCACAGGAGGGCTGGGGGAGAAAATGAAGCCTGAGGTGTTCTCTTTGTCACTGAAGCATCTTCTACTGCCTGAGGGTTGTGAGACGTGGTCAGGTGGCCTTCAAACCTGGACTTTCTTTTGTTCTTCTTTTTTTTATTAATTTATTTTTTACATTCCAACCCCAGTTCCCCCTCTCTCCTCTCCTCCTGCTCCTTCCACCCCTTCCCTTCTGCTCCTCAGAGAAGGTAAGACCTCCCCTAGGAAGTTTTCTAAGTCTGTCCCACCATCTAGTTGAGGCAGGACCAAGGCACCTCTCCACCCCCACACCCTGTGTCTAGGCTGGGCATGGTGTCTCTCCAAATAGAATGAGCTCATACCTGGACTTTCTCGTGAGTGGATGTGTCATTAAGGTTCGTATGAGGAGAAAAACAAAGTTATGGTCAAAGACCACCTTATAGAAAATTCCTTAGGTGAATCACCATGCCCCTGAAGCCATCCTCGTGTTGCTGCTGAGACATGGGGTTGAGGCAGTCTGAAAACACTAAAGACAGAAACAACAGACATACTGGAGCACTCCGGGGAATCACACACCTGTGGTCCAGCTAGGCCTCCAGGGTGTCCTTGGGTTGATCCTCCTTATCTAGCTCCCGACAGTCTTGGGCCGTTTGTCTAGGTCAGTATATACCAGTGGGTTATAAAAGACCTGCCCCTCCGGGCCACTCTTTAAAAAAACATCATGACAGTGTTCCTCGTTCATCTCTGAGCACTAGCTGTGTGTGTATCCTAGGTGAGGGACACTGCTCTGAGAGTGTGCCATATGTGACGGGCTTCCTGAGTGACTAGTCCCCACGGCAGTGAGCATCTCCTTCATTTATCTGAGTAGCTGCTAGACAGACACGTGAGAGAGAGTCCCAGATTCTCAGAACCTCTGTTCCCCAGTCTCTCTAATCCTGTACCACCAGTGTGAGAGTGAAAATGTGAACTCCTGTGAAATGCTCATGTCTAAGCAAGACCCTCTCACCAGCTGGATGCCCCTAACGCTCTTTACCCTTCTCAGAAGACAGGAGTGCCTACTGGGTAAAATGAAACACTACTCCCACTATATGACCTTATGCATGATGGTTAATTGACAATTCCCAGCAACCACGTGGTGGCTCACAAAATATCTGACGTTTACCCCTGCCCCAAATCCTCCCAGAACTGCCCTCACCTTCTTACCCACCCAATTTTATGTTTTTCTCTGTCTTTCAAAACAAAACCCACAAAAGTACAAACTGAAACAGGTAAGCAAAAGGCCAATAAAGACAAGAAGTCCACAAAAGAGAAGGGTCTGTCTTATGTCAGCCAGCTACTCCATGGAACCTGCCTGGAGGTTCCACACGCTGGTTGACCTACCCAGTAACACTCTATGGGAGAAAACTGACTTTCCACGCTCCAGCAAGCACCAATGGCAAACAGCTTCCGGGCTGAGAGCTGGGCCCGCTGTGCACTTTGCTCTCGCGATGCTGCAGGTTTTTGTCTGCCTTGAGCCTGGGTGGGTCAGTGTGTGCTGCCTTAGTCTGAGTTCACGCGTGCGTGCATCGGTCCTGTTCCCCTGGAGTCCTCGCCTCTGCTCCTTACGCTCCTGCTGCCTCCTCTCACTTTGACCGTCGTCCAATTGCGGGTCTCTGTGTTGATTCCCATCCGCTGCAGGAAGCTTCTCTGCTGAGTGCTGAGTGAGCCACTGGCATATGGGTCAGTACTATGTTCCTCTAACAGAATAATAGTAGTAGGTTCCCCTCAGCCTTGGCCTAGCTAGTCTCAGCTTCTTGGCCTTTTTGGCAATGCGGGCTGTGAATTCCATCTCATAGAGTGGGCATTAAACGCAATCAAAAAGTGGTTGTTCACTCAGCTGTTAAGAAGAATTAAGTGATGGAGGCTGGAGAGACGGCTCAGCATTTAGGAGCTCTTGCTGCTCTTCAGAGGACCGGGGTTCAAGTCTCAGCAACCGCGTGGCATCTCACACCTGTCTAACACAGTCCCAGGGGATCCAGTGAGCTCTGTGCACACTGTAGTACACAGACATTCATGCAGGCAAAGCCTCCATATAGGTACAATTTTAAAAAGAAAGATGAACTATGAAATTTGCAGATAAATAGATGGAGATAGGAAAAAAAAATTCATCCCGAGTAAGGTAGGCCAAACCCAGGATTCTCTCTTGTACGTGGATGTCAGCTTGTGAGCTTTCAGTAGGTGCGATACCGTCAGAGTAACCACAGAGGTTAGGTCCCATGTAAGGAACAGTAGGGACAAGAGGCTCTCCCAAGGGGAGGGAAATAGAATACACTGGAGATAAAGGGGAGAGGGGGATGGGAGAGAAGCACAAAGGAGGAGTAGAAGGAGGACAACTAACACTAAGGAGGAGTAGAGGGAGGACAACTAACATTTGAAAAGTCACATGGGCTGGGCAGTGGCGACGCACGCCTATAATCCCAGCACTTGGGAGACAGAGGCAGGTGGATCTCTGGGTTTGAGGCCAGCCTGGTCTACAGAGTGAGTTCCAGGACAGCCAAGGCCACACAGAGAAACCCTGTCTCTAAAAAAGAAAAGAAAAGAAAAGGCGGGGGAAGCTACATGGAAACCTACTCCCGTAGAGATTTCCGCCTTAATTTTCAAAAACACAAAAAAAACTCTCAAGCTATGAACAGGTGTGTGTGTGTGTGTGTGTGTGTGTGTGTTCGCAGAGAGAAAGGAAATTAAAAAACTGGACAATAAGTAAAGCGTAAGAATAGTTTGGGTCCTTTGGGGCTCTAGTTGTTTTTAACAGCCTTCATTTTATTCCCTCTTCTTCCCCCTTCCCCCGGGGTCTCACTGTGTAGTCCAGGCTGACTTTGAACTCAGTGCTCCTGCTTCAGTGTCTTGAGTTCTGGGGTTACAGGTGTGCACTACAATGCCAGCTCTCATTAGGTATTTTCCAGATCCCAATAAAACATTAACTGAACCATTATATTACCTCTTGCCTAAGCTATATTTTGAGCTTAGCAAAGGAAATGTTTGGAAAAAATGTGTTACTTAATAATCATAATTATTTATAAAAAACAAATATTAACAGTATTTTTAAATTAAATATGAATTATTAAAATTATTATAACATATTAAAATATTTATTTATTTGAGATGGGTGCTCACTATAAGCCCTGACTGACCTGGAATTCACTGTGTAGACCAGACTGGTCTTGAACTCAGAGATCCACGCACCTCTGCCTCTTGAGTACCGGAATTAAAGGGGTGGGCCAACACACCGAACAACTGACTTCTTAGTCCTTGTTAAAATCTTCTCAACAGTGCCAGTAACCCCTGCTGGAAAGTGACACAGATCTGTCTTACATACTACACATGTAATAAATAATTATCATAAAACCTATCTACCTATCTACCTAGAGTTGGAATTATTATAAAACCTATCTACCTAGAGTTGGCCTGTTTTCTTTCTGTTATAAACTAGAAAGGTCTGGGTGCTGTGACTGGAACTCAGCTGCCGCCATGCTTGCCTGGCACACTTGTGAAGCAAGTGTGCTGATGTAAAACTCAAATCTCCCACCTTGGGAGGTGGAGGCCGGAAGGTCAGATGCTGCAGTCCGGAAGATCGGATGCTGCAGTCCGTCTTCAACTACACTCGAAGTTTAAGGACAGCCTGGAGCACACAAGACCTGTCTCAGGCAAAAACGAAACGAACTTATAGATCCCTGTCTTAGGCAAAAATGAAACGAACTATAGATCCCTTTATGCTTGAACAGTTTTCAAAAAGTGGGTTTTTGCTCTTTCGCTGATTTGGTCATATTTCCAAGATTGATGTCTAAGTTATTAAGGATACTACACAGATGTGTATGTGCTCTGTGGGCACTTTGTGAACTCAGGAGCAAATCACATCACTCTTCAAATACAGGCCGTTGGTTTTTCCTTTTGACACAGCCTGGCCAGGCTTGTAAGACTTGGGAGGCGTCGTGCCAATTATTCCCTGTAATGGTTGGCAGGGAACTGACTTACAATGCTGTACCCAACAAGCTCTACCACCTACTCACACTCCCCGGTCCTCTTTTACCTGGTTTTTTTGTTTGTTTGTTTGTTTTTTGAGACATGTCTCATTAGGATGCCCACATGGTGGCCTTGAACTTGGGAGCTTCTCCCCCAGCCTGGTGAATAGCTGAGATTACAGACCTGCACCTCCAGGAAAGTTATTTTTAAAGTCAGTAAAGGGAGAAAGAGAAAAATAGCCACCATCATTGGGGCTGTCTTCATTGTTTGCTTGATTAAAATGTTTTGGATGAGCTTTGAGATTCTTTCTCAAGTCCCTGTCTCAAAAATCAAAAATAAAAAAACAACCATTCCAACACATGGTCTGCACACTCAGTGGAGAAGATTAGAAAGCTTGGTGCATCGGAAGCCTGTATCCAGAAACCTTTTAAAAAGATACACATTTGAATGGGGAGGATTAACGATTTCTTCTGTTTCTCTTGTACAGGTCTGGAGAGGAATCGATCAGGAAGAGTGGATTCCCAGAACATACCAAGACTTGGAAGGTCTGCCCTGCATAGTGATATTAACCGGCAAGGACCCTCTAGGAGAAACTTTTCCCGGGTAAGACGTGAATCTCTGGTTCTGCAGCACCACAGTGCCCCAGCTGAACTGCCAAATTATTGGTGAGCCAGTTTGAGTTGTCTGGCAGTAAGTGCTCCGTGCAGGGACGAAAGAAATCGAGCCTCACTCATTCTGCCTTTCAGATTTCCACTTCTGGAATAGGACTGAGCTACAGGTGAAAAGTGGCTTTGCCCCAGAGCAAGGCAGACAGAGAGGCTGAGAGGAAAGGCAGGAAGTGATAGATGATACACAGATAGACAGAGGACAGACAGACAGACAGACAGATAGGTATTCAGATAGATGGATGATAGATAGATAGATAGATAGATTATAGACAAATGATAGGTAAGTACATTAGACAGACAGATGATAGGTAGGTAGATGATTTAGATAAAGCACTTTGTTAACCTGATGTAACTCCCCCGAGGATCTAGGTCTAAGTATTCTGTGCTGGAGTGACGTGCCCCTAATATAGTTCCTCTGTGCAGGTCTCTAAAGTACTGTGACCTACGATTAATCGACTCAAGCTACTTAACTCGCACAGCCTTGGAGCAGGAGGTGGGCCTAGCATGCTGCTATGTCTCAAAAGAGGTCATCCGGGGCCCGGCTGCTGCCCTGGACCTCAGTGGGAAAGAGGCAGAGAGGGCTCCCACCAGCGAGAATGATTCTGAGGAGCTGCTCATCGATTTGGAGCGACCGCAGAGTAACAGCAGCGCTGTCACAGGAACCTCAGGTCAGAACTCTCCTTCAAAAGGTGGAGCTTGCCACCGGCCCCCAAGGTCTCCAAGCAATGGCAGGGCCCTCCTCTGCAGGCCTCCACTGCTGGGAAGGGCGCTTGCCAAGCAGGAGAGCAGAGCAGCTACAGCTTTCTCAGGGTGGAACCATGAGCTCGGTAAGAGGCAAAACATATCCAGTTTGCCTCATAGCCTGCACCATGCTCCCCAATGCTCCTCCATGTCCTTCCCATTACTCCAGAGCTCAGATTCGCATAGACGCCTTGTTTTCAGTCTAGCGATGGAAGCTGTAAGCTTGTATTAGGTGACTTAATGCCCGGCACAAGTGTTGGATGGGAACATGAGTGGCAAGATGAATGAAGGGATGGATGGTTGGATGAAGGATGAATGAATACATGGGTGGATGGCTAGTTATCCTAAACACTCACTGGCAGGCTTTTCAGAGGCTTCTAGGTGACTGCAAAGCCTGGTGTAAAATTTCTTTTAGTAAACTGTGATATAACAAATGCAGCCCTACTTCCTTACTTTTTTGATTATGAAAATAAAAAAGCTTAATGTAGAAGATGTGTCAAAGTACAAGGAAGAGATGACAGTGAAACTCCCCCTCCAAAAGTGTCCTGCTCATACTCTGAGTTGGCATGCAGATCAGGTCATCGCGCACACACACTCATCCTCAGAGACAGGGCTCCCGTTGATTCTGCCAGCAGTTGTTGGCTGACTCCAGGCCTCCTGTCTGCAGTGACCCAAGGCCTGGAGGGACGAGACCCACCCTTCTCTAGGCTGTGCCCAGCTTGTTTACCTCTCCTCACCCCCCTCAACTCCACCACTGCAGGCTCCTCAGTTTTCCTGAAAGCGCCTCAGAAAAATCAGAGGACAGTACAAGGCAACAAAACGAAGGGGGTGTCATCTCTAAGATCTCCGGACTATGAGGTCAGGAAGGGGCATGAGGTACCCGTACTCTCTTCTTGGTCTGCCATGTCCCAAAGCAGAAATAGTAAACTACACAAACTTAGGGATGTCCTATGATATTTATGTGAAAAACCAATAAATCTGGTCCACAGGTTGCTCTCCAGGTCGAAACCGAAACCCAAAGAGGGAGTGTTCCCTCCCCCTAGCTCTATTTACTACCATATGATCTACATACCCATGAACATCTGTGTGGACAGGAGTGGTCAGCGCTTATGGATATGTAAAATCACTCCCTACAATTCCCCTTTTAGTCTAAAGAAAAGATTTAGACTTAAGACAAAACTAAATTGTGTCAGTAAACAAAATGTCTCAAACATATATATATATATATAGCATATATACAAAGAAGATGACAAACAAATTATAATCTACCCATATCCTATCCTAAGCATATCTATCCCATCTAAACCTAAGCTTATTTGAAAGAGATGCCCAAGTCTGAACACCTCCTTCCAATCCCAACCCTAAAATAATTGAAAACTAACACTAACAGGTGTAAACTATCCTGTAATATCAACAGTAGGGAAAGGGGGCATAGTATTCTCAAAATTACTTCTGCTGAAATGAGACATTGACAATCTCATGGGAACCAATGGGAAGAAAATGTTAGTGTAACAAGAGTCTTAAATAGATTAAATAGTCTCTGTTCGGCAGGAGATGCTTGACTGAAGTTATTGACTGAAGCTCTAGCCAGAGAGTAGAAGGTTCACCGTGTCGGTTCATTGGTCTGGAGTTGTACAAAATGATGTAGTCCCAAACCTATTTCAAGATGGTACTTGTCAGGTGGAGTCGATGATGTGGGGCAGTTCAGATGCATCCATTTGAATCAGGTGGAGTCGATGAAGTGGGGCCCCATATTCTTTCTGAAGTGTCTGAAGATTGCTGTCAGGAAATTCCTTGTTCTCTGGAAACTCAAATGTTAACAGAGAAATTTTTAACTTTTCTATGTATGCATACTGGGAAAGGCAACAATAAGGAAAATAGTAAACATGAAGGAGATTAGACTTTCAGAAAAGGAACCGAGTATAAACAGATGACAGTCCCTAGATTTGTTTTCTTCTGTCTCATATCAATGACTCTTTGATATAATACAGAAATTCTGAATTTTACTATAACAACATGCTTGGATTTAGAGTAGAAGAGCCAATCCAACTCCAAAGCCAGCTTTAGTTAAATGAGTTGGGACTAAAAGAGTATTAACAAGCAAGGAAAAATGGGTATTATAAGAACAAAATAGAGAGATTTAGACATTGATACCACACAGTGCATTATTGTTTGTTTGATGGTCCTTGGAGTAGCTATCCATTCTTCTTCAGGTATCCATATATTCAGTATTTTTCGCTGTTTGGAGTTGAGTTTTCCTGTGAGGACAAAAACAAAACACTTCCCTTCCTTTGTGAGGTCACCTTACATGTTATAGAATATGACTTTGTAGATGAGCTGTCATCTTTCCTCCTCCTGAGGCTTCTTCTGTTCAGATCGAATCTTGATCAATTTTGATAGAATCCAAAGCTTTTCTTCTCCAAAGGCAATACCCCTTCCCCAACGTAACACATATCCTGTTTATGTGTTTCTAGACTGAGGTCATAACATCCTTAAAATGCACCAGTTGGTTTAGTTCAGAAGTTTTTTCTGTAGTCCAGTGTCTTTCTGCAGCTGTTTATCCTTTTTTGTTAGCATTAAGAAAGTTCAGCATTGGCGGGCAGAAGTGGCGCACGCCTTTAATCCCAGCACTCGGGAGGCAGAGGCAGGCAGATCTCTGTGAGTTCAAGGCTGGGCTGGACCGACAGCCTCCAAAACAATACAGAGAAACCCTGTCTCATAAAACCAAAAAGAAAAAAGAAAAGAAAGTTCAGCATTAGTAAAGCATTGTGTAATCTGTGTTTAGGGGTCTTTGTTTCCCCTGGCTGTTTATGAAGCATTTCTTTTAAGGTACGGTTAGATCTCTCAACCACTGCTTGTCCTGTAGGATTATGAAGTATACCAGTTACATGTTTTATGTTATAACATTTGGAGAAACTGTTCCAATTTGCTGGAGACATATGCTGGAGCATTGTCAGTTTTTATTTGTGCAGGTATACCCATAACAGCCATCACCTCTAAGAGGTGTGTAATAACAGAATCAGCCTTTTCAGAGCTGAGGGCAGTAGCCCACTGGAAGCCTAAGAACGTGTCTATGGTATGGTGTACATATTTCAAACTTCCAAATTCTGCAGAGTGAAATACATCCATTTGCCAAATATCATTTCTGCTAATACCTTTGGGATTACTGCCTGCTGGTAATGGAGTTTGATTATAGAATGAACAGGTGGGACAGTTTCCTACTATTTCCTTTACTTGTTGCCAAGTGATAGAAAAATCCTTCGTTAAGCCTTTGCTGTTAACATGGTGTTTCTTATGGAATTCTGAAGCTTCCAACACACTTCCTATTAATAAATGATTGATCTCATCATTACCTTGTGCTAGAGGACCTGGCAGACCCATATGGGATCTGATGTGAGTTATATATATAGGATGGGTTCTATTTCTGATGGTTTCCTGTAATTGTAAAAATAATGAGGTTAATTCCGTATCATTAGGAACAAATTCTGCAGTCTCAATGTGTAAGACGACTCTCTGCATACTGAGAATCCGTAACTATATTAAGAGGCTCTGTAAAGTCTTTAAGTACCATGAGAATGGCGTATAACTCTGCCTTTTGCACAGAGTTGTAAGGGCTTTGAACTACTTTACTTATTTTCCTGATTTATAACCTGCCTTACCTGACTTGTTTGCATCAGTGTAGAATGTAAGAACTCCAGAGATTGGTGTTTTTCTTACAATACGTGGAAGGATCCAAATTGTTTTCTTTATGAATTTGATTCTCTCTGTTTTGGGATAATTGTTACTGATTGTTCCTAAAAAGTCACTGCAAGCCCTTCCATATTCATTATCCTTCCATAAGGAGGAAATTTCCTCATTTGTTATGGGTACAACAATCTCTGCTGGGTCCTTCCCAGTTAATTGATGAAGCCTTAACTTACCTTTTAATATCAAATCAGAGATCTTTTCTATATATGCCTTCAATTTTTTATTCTGTTTATGTGGCAGAAATACCCATTCTAGTATTATGTCTTCCCTCTGCAATAATATTCCAGAGGGGTATTCTCTGGATGGCAAAATAACCAGAATGCAGTCCAGTTTTGGATCCACACGGTCCACATGTGCTTCCAATATCCTTTGTTATACCCATTCTAATTCTTTTTTAGCCTCAGCTGATAATATTCTAGGACTATTTAAATCCTTGTCTCCTTTTAGGGCCATTTTCAGGTGTTTTTAAATCATGCCCTTCTAGCCGGGCATTGGTGGTGCACGCCTTTAATCCCAGCACTCGGGAGGCAGAGGCAGGCGGATGCCCGTGAGTTCGAGACCAGCCTGGTCTACAATAGCTAGTTCCAGGACAGCCTCCAAAGACCTGCCTCGAGAAACCAAAAAAAAAAAAAAAAAATCATGCCCTTCTACTCCAATAATTGTAGTTGAGAAATTTCTCCTAATAGTTTTTGAAGATCCTTAAGAGTCTGGTAACAATCTCTCCTGATCTGTACTTTTTGTGATCTAATTTTCTGTAGATCTATTTTAATTTTATAATCTAAATAATTAATAGAATCTCCTCTTTATATTTTTTCTGGGGCAATTTGTAATTCCCAGCGAGGCAAAGTTTCCTTTACTGGTTCAAACATCTTTTCCAACTTACCTTTTTTTTTAAATCAGCCAACAATATATCATCCATATGATGATAGATTATTTATTGTGGAAATTGTTTATGAATTATTTCCAAGGGCTTTTGCACAAAATAATGGCACAAAGTCGGGCTATTTAACATTCCTTGTGGCAACACCTTCCACTGAAATCTCCGTACTGGTTGAGAATTGTTATAAGTTACCTCTCACTCTCCCCGTCCCATTCCTTCTGTGTTCCTGTTTTATTTCAACTTAAGTTCATGGACTCTTCTGAAGCATAAATATCAAGCTATACAAGTGTAGGGATGTCCTATGATATTTATTGAAAGAGAAATCACTTATGTGAAAAGCCAATAAAGCTGGTCCACACACTGCTCTCCAGGTCGAAACCGAAACCCAAAGAGGGAGTGTCCCCTCCCCCTAGCTCTACTTACCACCATGTGATCTATGTACCCATGAACACACCCACACAGGAGTGGTCAGCGCTTATGGATACATAAAATCACTCCCTACAATGTCCAATAACTTCTATAGGATTTTTAATGTACTCATGTCCCCTGCAGTTTCAATTCACGCCAATAAACTTACAGAGTGGCTCCCTTCCTACTCCCAGGAATAGGTCATTGATCATTCTGTGCTGGATGGTCAATGACCAACAGATGGTGCAGTTTCTCAGCCCATGCAGGGGCTGCACTCATCCTTCCCCCTCAGAATGGAACGAAGAGCAGTGTTTTACATACACTGTGGAGTAACAAAAGTAGGGTGGCCTGATCCCAACACTTGGAAGCCCCCACAGTCACAGGAGCATAAAGTTTTCTTTTTCAGAAAAGCACTTTTTATTATCGTTGTTTGTGTGCATGTGTCCGATGTGGACATGAATGCAGTGCCCACAGGGCCCAGAGCCCTGGGTACAGGCCTTTGTGAGCCACCTGACATAGGTACTGGGAGTTAAGCTTGGGGGCCTCTGCAAGAGCGGTGTGTGCTCTTAACTTCTGAGCCACCTCCCCAGCCCGAGAGAGGTTTGCTTTTAACAACTGAAGGTCCCAGAGCTGGGATTCGAACTGCATGGCTGAATAGCAGTACCTCTTCGAGCTCGGAGAGGGTCTTCAGCCATGTGCCCTTGAAAAGGGCTTAAATGTGGAACCTATAAGTCCACTGCCGTCTGACAGAGGAGCGGGGGAGACTTTAGTAGAGGGGCTACCTCCAAAAATGTTGGAAGGCCGTAGGGAAGGGACAGCAGGTGGCAAAGCACTGTTAATGACCCTGTAAGCCAGGCTGGCTTCCCAGAGGAAGGTGGTCCCCCGGGGGCAATGTGGGAAGGAAACCAGGGGAGATGGAACCAACTTCTAGCTTGTGTCTCCCATAGGCCAAGCCCACCCACAAGCCAGGGCAAGGGATCAGGAGGGAGCAGGGTGGAGACGAGGCAGAGTAAATATTCCATCGCCGGCTGCAGTCCAAAAGCCTTTTCAGTTTGTTTTTTTCAGTAGCCTTTATCTCCTGACCTTGGCATCGGGGAGGGGCGGGAATAGGATGAATTCCACCGTCTTCTTACAGGTTCCATCATGGAGAACGGGGTGAGTTCCTCTAGCACAGCCGACAAACCCCAGCAGCAGCCTCTGACCCCCAGCTTCCAGAGCCCCACCCCCAGCATGCGGCTGGATGAAGGAGTCTCGGCCAGCAGTGCGGCAGCCGCGGCGGGGGAGAGCCTGAAGCAGGAGTGTGACTCCCTGAGCCTGCCGATGGCCAGCAGCACTACCTCCAAGCCTTCTTCGTCCTCATCCTCGAGCGCCCAGGCTCTTGCGTGGTCAGGGCAGCCCCCCAGAGGCTGCCGGGGCCTGCACACAGCCCTGCCCCCGGTGGTGATCTTATCCAAGGCGGCGTACAGCCTGCTGGGATCCCAGAAGGGCGGCCGGCTGCCGCCCTCCTCCTCCCTGCTGCCCCACGCCGATGTGGCCTGGGTGAGCTCCCTGCGGCCAGGCCTGCACAAGGACATGAGCAGCGAGGAGCAGTCCCTTTACTACCGCCAGTGGACCTCGGCCCGGCAGCACCATGCTGACTTCGGCAACCAGCCAGACCCCGCCTCAGGCGCCCGGAGCGTGCACCCCAGGCGGCTGCTGCTCACTGGACCCCCCCAGGTAGGGAGATACCAGGGCAGACCTTGTCTTGGCTGTTGGGGGACATCCTGGGGGTTGGCAGGGATGGCAGAGGACCTCATTCGGGCCTCAGCAGAAGAGCCCAAGTGTGAAAGAAATCTCTTGTTGTCTTTTTCCTCTCCCTCTCTTACCTCCCCCTTCCTGGATTAACGATGGCTCCATCAGGTGGGGAAGACCGCCTCCTATTTGCAGTTCCTTAGGATTCTCTTCCGCATGCTCATCCGGCTCCTGGAGGTGGACGTGTATGACGAGGAGGAGATCAACGCAGGTGAGGGAGGCTTGGCCGAGAGCCAAGGCCGCTTTGCCCGCTGGGTGTCTAGGGTACCCAAGCTGCAGAACCATCATGGACTGGAGACAAGTGAACGGTGGCTCTCAGCTTCTGGGGGCCTCTCCCCAGCAGTAGCCGCGCACCGGGGTCTCATCAGCCTTGGTAGGTAGGTAGGCTCATTGCCTAAATAGGTAAACCCCGTGGTTCTTACCAGCTCTGCCCTGAGCTCCTTGGCATCACAGCCTTTGATTTTACCCAACTGAAGCTGCAGTCCCTCCACCCCCGCCCTGGGACGCCAAAGCTTCTCTGTCACTTGTCACCGACAGGAGGGCCTCTGGGGAGGGTTGAGTCATAAGTGCACTGGGAAGCATAAGACCCCTTCAGGAGCAGAAGAACATGCTTGAGACTGCAAACAGTGCCAAATGCAATGCAAGCTATAGCAGCGTAAAAATCAAATATTCTTTATACTAAGAAGTAATAGCCATACTTCTAATCTTGGGCTTTCCCTCAAAGTAGTTTATGCTACTTAAAAAAAAACCTACATTTTATTGTGTGCATGTATGTATGAGAGGAACACAGGGGCGGGGGACAGAGGACAACTTTTGGGAGTCAGTTCTCTTTCCACCACACGGGTCCTGGGGCTGCAAAGCACCTTCCCTGCTGAGCCGCACTCTCAACTCACATATGATTAATAACAAACACCATCTGCTGCACACACAGTCTGCGCCTGCCGCTGCCTCAGCACCTGGACTACCCCATCCTCGAGTCGCTAAGACCTGCACGAGCTGGTACACTGGGGTTAAGTTTGTGCCCAGAGGGGACAGTGCCATGGCGTGGGACAAGGGTTTAAGCTCTGAAAATGCCTGAAGGCTACAGCTGGAGCCTGGGGAAAGACACTGACTTTGCTGCTCTTGGGGACTTGTGAGGGGGATAGGAGTATTGTACTAGAGCATTGAACACCTGGGTAATTCTAATGTACCGCATACACCGGGACTTTTGCTCACTGCAACCTAAGATTTCAGGCAGCTTCAGGTCTGCTCACCCGGCTGGCATCCCAGCTAAGGCAGGAGAGGGAATGCCAGCAAGGCTTGCCTGGGACCCGGTCAGCTTAGTAAAAACTCGTGTTACTCAGGACTCTCTGATGATGTATTAAAAGGTGATTTATTAGAGTGGCCCCCAGGCTGTGGTCTGCCTCGTCCAGCAATGCTGTCTCCTGATAGAAAGGCCAAGGATTTGATAGCTGTTCAGCTGGTCTTTGGTCTACACTGGGGTCCAAAAGAAGTAGGAAGGAATGCCTCAGCAGCAGGGTGGATGAACTTGCTAGCAAGAGTGAGAGCAAGCAGGCAAAAAGCAAAAGATCCCTTCCTCCATGTCCTTTGGTGTACACTGTCACCAGAAGGTGTAACCCAGATTTAAGGTGGGTCTTCTGACCCCCAAAGAGTCAGTCAAGAAAACCCTTCACAGATGTGTGCATTTGCATGGGTTTTAGCTGATTTCCGATGCAGTCAAGCTGGCAACCAAGACTAGCAATCCCTGTCTCAGATGTTTACACAGTGCTGGGGCCATGGTTCAGTGGTAGAGCCTGGCATATGTGATGTAGGAAGTCCCAGTACTGAGAAAGAACAATAACAAAACCATCCCACAGCTAAAGCTGAGAGTTTTGATCATCCAAATCAGAGTGTTTAAGGAGCACTGGGAGACCCTGGGTCTTATAGGACAGGAATCTGTGAACTGAGCTAGTGAGTTTGTGAAGTAATCAAGGTTAGTGGGGGGAAATCCCCTTCCTGGCCGAAGTCTGAAGGAATGGTTCTGGTTCCTTCTACTCTGGGATGAGAGCTTGCTTTGGGGATGGAGAGATGGCTCAGCGGTTAAGAGTTCTTCCAGAGGACCCAGGTTCAATTCCCAGCACCACATGGCGGCTCACAGCTGTCTAAGTCCAGTTCCAGAGGATCTGGCACCCTGTGGTACACATTCAGGCAAAACACCGATGAATGCTCATAATATAAATAAATTAAAAATAAAAACAATAAAGAGAGCTCATGTCTCTGAAGCGCTTTGTCACACCCTGCCCAGGCTTTATACCCCAGCATGGTGGGGAGGGAGGGCAAGGGGAGGAGGTAGGCCCACCATCCTGTGCCGTCTTGCCCTAGATCACAATGAAACCAGTGGAGTGAGCCAGTCAGAGGGAGATCCCTGGCCTGACATTGAGACTTTCAGCAAAATGCCTTTCGACATCAGTGTGCACGATCCCAAGTACAGTGTGATGAGCTTGGTCTACACTGAGAAGCTGGCTGGGGTCAAACAAGGTCAGTGTGTATAGAGCCAGGCTCAAGGCCTGGGGTAGGGTGGGGAGGGAGATGGGTCACTCCTTTGAGAAGAGTGCAACATTCTGTGTTTCACTCTCACACAGCTACACACACACACACACACACACACACACACACACACACACACACATCTTGATTTTTAAGCTTGCTTAGCAGGGCTCAAATGATACAGCCCTTTTGAGAAGTCCGTGTGAGGAATGAGCATTTCTTTCCAAGCCTGATGTGTGCGTCACGGCGATAACAGTTTCTCATCCCCTTGTGCACAGAGGTGATGAAGGAGTGCAGAGCTGAGGAGCCCCGGAAGCGAGAAACCGTGTCTATGATGCTGACGCAGTATGCGGCCTACAACACCTTCCACCACTGCGAGCAGTGCCACCAGTACATGGACTTCACGCCCAGCTCCCAGGTGCAGCCCTTTGCCCTCGCCTGGGAGCTCTGCTCAGTGTGGGCCCTGTGTGCCCTTGGGGAGAGGGAGACCTGAGACCCCAGCTTCAGGCCCTGGGGAAACAATGTAAACTACTACTTAGCAGCTGCCTCTTCCTCTGACTTCCTCCCTGGGACAGGAACTCTGTGTTCCAGGCTAGCCTCGAATTCCCAACCCCCCTGCATACTGAATGGAATTATAGGCAAGCCTGCGGTGCCTGGCTTTATTTTCTCATATTTTTGTCATTATGGCTACGTCTCAGGGCCCTGCAAATAATAAAAACACACTCTAGAACCCCCAGCCCCTTTGGCATCTTTTTGCCTAGTGCATTCTTACACACAAAAGGAGGAAACAGCAGTTGATAGCAGCACCCCAACTTTGCAAGAGAAGCTCCCTATCGTTTCCCCATTCTCTTCTTAAGTTTATATCTTGGCACTGAGCACTGGGGCCCTGTTGCTTCTAGGCTCTGCTGGGCAAATTCCCCAAAGCAGCTTCTCCTCAGGACCAGCACCTCCCCTTGAAAGGACATCCTGATCAACGGGCACTAGAAACAACATACTGAAAACTGGCTACAAGTCACCTGTTCTGTCACTTGGTTTAGTGGAGAGCTACTAGTCTGTTGACAATTTAATTAAATGGTGTGTGTGTGTGTGTGTGTGTGTGTGCATTCACACGCACGTGTACATGAGGTTGTACATGCATGTGTTAGCTCCATCACTGTGGGCCCTAAGGATTGGTGGCAAGCCCTTTCTCTCTCGAGCCATCCCACTGGTCCTGTTCACAATTCCTCATAGGCTATAGAAGACACGAGGGCCTTGGACTATAAATTATAGGTGTTTAGAAATTTTCTACATAAAAAGTCCCTCTTGACATTATTTCTGTATGATTACAGCACAAATAATATATCCCCACATTTGTGATGTAGAATAAACTAGAATTTGGGGGAAGAACTTTATTATTTTTTTTTCTGAAATGTAATATTTAGGTTAAAACTTTTAGGAGACCAACCTGGATATTAGGTGCTGATGAAAATGTTGTCCTTCCATTAAATCAATTATTGGCTTCATTGTATGATTCATGAAGAGCTATTTTATAATTCCATGGCAGTGGATTGCTGGGCATGCGAACTTCCCAGTAACCTTTACAGACAGGTTCGATTATCCTGGCTTTTATGAGTCACACGGTGTTTCCCTGCTGTCAGTTACGCACTAAATGTTGGAAACACTTCACCTTCCTCTTAACCAAAAGAGGTGGGAGCCGCAGCACCTTTTAAATTCTAGCCCTGTACTCTAAGAGCTGAAACTTAAAGTGTTCAGTCTGACTCAGAGTAGAAGAGTCTCTGCTCCCAGGCTCTTTGGGGAGATGTGTATACAGCAGGGCAGCCCATAGGGACATTTGTCTTTAGAGTGAGCATTTGCCAAGGTCCTAAACCTATGAGGGATAAAGACAGACAATGCCAAGTGTGACTTACCCTCCTCGGACAAGCTTTAGCAGGGCTCCATACTTGGCTCCTGCATCAGTGACAACTATTAAATGATAAAGCCTTTTACACGTCGCTCCTCACAGCCAGGATGTCTGGTGGCACTCATTCATGTCAGTTGCCTGTGTGTCAAAAGTCAAAAATGGTCTGCAAGTTTGGGAACCATATACTGACCGCCGCTCTCTCTTTTTTGCAAATCTAGATGTCTGACTCTACCCTGCATGCGTTCACATTTTCTTCCTCTATGCTGGGAGAAGAAGTCCAGCTCTATTTCATCATCCCCAAGTCCAAAGAGAGTCATTTTGTCTTCAGCAAGCAGGGCAGACACCTGGAAAGCATGCGGTTGCCGCTGGTTTCAGACAAGGTAGGCTAGAGGTTCTGGGTGTAAGGGTTTGGGGTCCTGATATGGGGACCTCCAAGATGCTCACATCTGAGGGTTTTTCTTTCCCATTTAGCTCTCATTTGTTTCCTTTCACAGAATCTAAATGCAGTCAAGAGCCCTATTTTCACTCCTTCCAGTGGCCGCCACGAGCACGGACTCCTAAACCTTTACCATGCCATGGAGGGCATCAGCCATCTCCACCTCCTAGTGGTCAAAGAGTACGAGATGCCACTGTACCGAAAGTACTGGCCCAACCACATCATGCTGGTGCTTCCGGGCATGTTCAATAACGCAGGCGTGGGTAAGCGCGCCCTCCAGGCGGGATAAGAGCGGAGAGGACAGTCAGAACCATTCTCCTGGTTTGCATCTTCCGAAGGCCGCTTCTGGGAATTGTCCTGCCTTCCGGACCATGGGTCTTTAGATTCTGAGTTCTTCCTTCTCCCCTGTTTTGTAATTTTGTAGACCCTAACATTTTTGTTCAGGTTCACAGAATTTCTAACTTCTGAGCACTAGTAATCACTGGAATATTGAACACCCTGGGACAGGACCAGAGTCTTCCTAGTGTAGACTCCCAGTGTTCTTGGGCTGGACAATTCTAGGGCCAGAATGTATCCATGACAAATGTTCCTAGGGTGAGAGGTGACAATGTACCTGATTTAGTGACAAATGTCCCTAGGATGAGAGGTGACGATGTACCTGATTTAGAGGGCCCCCTACTGTGTGTCCTGTCCAAGTCCTGTTCTAGTCCTGTCAACGAACTGGCCTTGAACTCAGAGATCTACCTGCCTCTGCCTCCTGGGTAGAGAGCTGGGAGTAAGGGCCACCACCCCCAGGTTTTTTTTTTTTTCTAACAAGCCAATTTCTGGTTGTTCATTTCTTGCATGTGAAATACTTGATGACATCCTTAGCCTGAGATTCTGTGTCACAGTCCGTTTAAAAAGCCCAATGCTGTTTACATTCTCAATATTAAAGTTCTTAGAACTAGTTACCGTGAAAACTGTGTTACCAAAATGCTTTTCAACATTACAGTTTTGTAGCCATTCTCAGGGGCCTGGAAGACTTTAGTTGTTCTTTTTTTTTTTTTTTTTTTTTGGTTTTTCGAGACAGGGTTTCTCTGTGGCTTTGGAGCCTGTCCTGGAACTCACTTGGTAGTCCAGGCTGGTCTCGAACTTGCAGAGATCCACCTGCCTCTGCCTCCTGAGTGCTGGGATTAAAGGCGTGCGCCACCAACGCCCGGCTTGACTTTAGTTGTTCTTAAGGCTCACAATACGGTACCACGATTGCCAGATTTTTTCAGAGACTCTGGAGAAACCCATTGAGGTAGGCAGATTAATTAGGGAACTTAGGATTCCATTCTCTTTATGACCATATAGTTCTCATATTGTCTTTATCTATGGGAATCTAGGCTGATCCCATTGTTGAAGTGTCTCCTTAGTATAATGGTTATTTCTCTCTTGGATATATACCAACCTCTGGACTTGCTGGATCACGTGGTTCTTCCGGCTTCAGCTTGCTTTGGGTAGGACCCTGCATATTCTCTATAATGTGCCCCACCACCAAGGGACCCTTTCCCTCTGCACCCTTGTCAACATCAATTGGTCACTTTGATGATGCGTTTTGGAGATAGTCCTTCTCAGGTGAGATGCTATCACTGTAGTTTTGAGTTGCATTCTTTGGTGGTTGGTGATACTGAGTATTTTATGTACTTCTTGGCTATTTGGAGTCTTTGTTTTTTTAGACATCTTACTAGGTAGCCATGACTAGTCTTGAACTGGTGATTCTCCTGTCTATACTTCTCAAGTGCTAAGAGTACAGTTGTATACTATCATTCCAAGTCAGCCCCCTTCCTTCCTTCCTCCTTCCTTCCTCCTCCCTCCCTCCTTCCTTCCTTTTCTCCCTCTTTCCTTCCTCCCTCCTTCCTTCCCTCCTTCCCTCTCTCCCTCCTTTCCATATTTGCTGCTCAGCTTTTGGAGCTCCTTATATATTCCAGAAATTAATCTCTTGTTAGATCAGTAATTTTCAAGTATTTTGTCCCACTCTGTATGCTGTCTCTTATTTATGTATGTTGTCTTATCTCTGCTGATTATTTCCTTTGCTTCAAAAACTTCTTGGTTTGATATAATTCACTTTATCTGTTTTCTCCTTTTGAGCTGCTATTTGAAAAACAGAATCAGTAAGATTTCCAATTTGGTTGCAATTTGAAGTGCCCTCAGATTCCATTAATAGATTTTTTTGTTTCTATGAAAAAATAGTAAGTGCATTAAATTATGGATCTTTTGAAGCATATTTATCTACAAAACATGTTTTACATGTTTCATAACTATGAATATTGGGCATCTTTCCACTTATTGGCATATCCTTCTATTTCCTTAATATTTTGTTTCTCACTGTATGTACTGTCTTTTGCCTCCTTGGTTAAGCGTATTCCTGAGTATTGTACCATTTTTATGCTATAATAGAACTAAATTTCTGAGACTGTTCCTTTTAAATTGCTGAGTTCTCTTATTAGTTCTAACAGTTTTCTGTGTATTTGCTCCATGTGTGATATATTGAGGGGGAGCATCATTTTACTATTTCTGATGGAGATCACTTTCCTTTTCTTGCCTAATTGCTGTGGCTAGGTCTTCTAGTACTGTTTATGGAAGCAGGCATTTTCTTGTTCACCACTGCCATGGAAGCTATCCATTTTTCCTATGTGGTCCATACTATATTGAGAATCCAAAGCATTACACAGACTCTTGAGGGGAAGATGTTCCTAAGTCCTAGTTTTTCCTTGAGCTAATCCTACTGTTAGGGCTTCTTCCATACACATTAACTAGTCTTTTTTTTGTTGTTATAATCTACATTTTGTTTCATTTAGGGTGACCCACTTAGAAAGTTTAGTTAATTCATCGTACTTACCATTAACAATCCTTAGTGAGTGCCATATACTAGGTACCTTCCCGACTACATATAACTTTGCCATCACTTCTTAGAGGTAAGGTAACCAAAGCTCAGCAGCATTAACTCATCCAGACAAAAGGCTAAAAAGTGTCAGGACTATCTCAGGCAGCTGTCCCTGGCCTGTTCTCTTGCTCCTACCATGTGCTGTACCTACTGTGCTTTCCTATCTTTTGCCAAATGCAGATCTAGGATGAGTGCCTGTTTCTGAAATCTCCACTCATTATGGCCCTGCCTCACTGTCTGATGCAGGAAGTGGGAGTGGCTGCCTCTAAGCGCAAGCTTGTCATGTTCTAAGGCCCTAGTCACTAATATCCTCTGCTGTGTGAGGTGTCCTCTGTCATAACAGGGAAATGGAATTCTTGAAGTATATTCCTCAGGGTGTACAGTTCACACATCATCAGATTTGTTTGTGGCCCTTCATTAGACTTACTCAAGTCCATCTCTAGTAATGGGTTCCAGGAATCTACATTTTAAAATGTTTCCCAGTGACTTTTTTTTTTTGAGATTTTTTATTTAAACAATGTGTCTGCACAAGTGTGGGTGGTCATTAGAAGCATCAGATCCCCCTGGAGCTGTCTGGAATGGGTCCTCTTCTCTCCAGCACGTTCCGTACCTGTGACTCTGTCTCCTCCTGCATACACACACAGACCCTATAAGAACAGGATGCCAGTGGAGGCCATGTGACTGGCCTGAGCGAAGGATGCAGAGCTGTGGTTGTACTGCTTTCCAGGTGCTGCGAGGTTCCTCATTAAGGAGCTGTCATACCATAATCTAGAACTGGAAAGGAATCGCCTGGAGGAGCTGGGTGTCAAACGGCAGTGCGTCTGGCCTTTCATCGTTGTGATGGATGACTCCTGTGTCCTATGGAACATCCACAGTGTTCAGGAGCAAACCAGGTAGTGACACTTCCAGGAAGTTGTGTGCCTGTGTGTGTGTGTGGGGGGTGTGACACAATGATCTAGACAAGATATTTTTAGCTGTAATACTTGGGAGTGAGTTTTCCTGAGCAAGGTGGATCAGAAGACCACTCAGCAGTTCACTGGTGGTTTCTTGAGGATTTTTCTTTCAATGTGTTATTGAGTTACTGGGCCATTTCCATATCCTGGTATTGGTTAGCTGCAAAAATGTGTTCTGGTCAAGGTATACTGGTATACACTTTTAGTCCCAGCACTTAGGAGGCAAAGGCAGGATAACCTTTGAGTTTGACACCAGCTGATCTACATAGCAAGTTCTAGACCAGCCAGTGCTACATAGTGAGACTGTGTAAAACAAAACAGAGCTCCCTGTTCTGATGCTGACTCATTTACATTGACGGCTTAACTACTGAAGTGGAGAGTCATGTCACCTGCCTTGAGCTCACCACCTGTAATACAGCCAGCTGAAAAATCAAACAAAAAACCCAGTGGTTCTCCTGGATCAGTGCCAACGTGCTAGGATTCCTTACAGGTGGCACAGTGCTAAGGGGTGGTAGTTAAGGAGAATTCTAACTACTAAAACACTTGTGAAATTGCCCTTCAAATTCAAGTGTCCTTACAAAACACTGATCTCCTATCATTTCTTCTGTGGACTTGAAATCAGTGACGTGTTCATATGGTTATGACATGTATTTATCAGAAACTGGCTATTACCATACTCCTAATAGCCTGGTCATGTCTTTGGTAACTAATATTCATTATTCACATTGTAATATGAACTGGGTTTCTTCCTTTCTTCCTTCCTTCCTTCCTTCCTTCCCTTCTTTCTTTTGCCTTAAATGTGATACAATTCACCACCAAAGGCCATCTTTTTTGAGTTACATGCTAGGCAGTGTGACTGGACTTGACCTTCCTAATGTAAATTATCTTACTACATCCTTTACAGTATTCCTAATTTGTAATAGCTTTGGTTCTTCAGGAGCATTTCCTGACATTCTATATAAACTAACTTTACATTTTAGCCAGCCCACAGAAGCAGGAATTTCCAGCAAGAATGTGTCCTTGAAGACTGTCTTGCAGCATATTGAAGCCACACCGAAAATTGTGCACTATGCAATCCTGGGTATCCAGAAATGGAACAGCAAGCTGACGTCTCAGAGCCTGAAGTCCCCGTTCTCAAGATGTCACGTGCATGATTTCATTCTCCTCAATATAGACCTGACTCAGAATGTACAGTATGACTTCAACAGGTAGGTCATTCTCCTCAATATAGACCTGACTCAGAATGTACAGTATGACTTCAACAGGTAGGTCATTCTCCTCAATATAGACCTGACTCAGAATGTACAGTATGACTTCAACAGGTAGGTCATTCTCCTCAATATAGACCTGATTCAGAATGTACAGTATGACTTCAACAGGTAGGTCAGGCCTCTCAGGTGTCCTGCACCTGTTGGTGGATGTTGCCCACTTCAGCCTCTGCCCTGTGTTTATTCTGCCTTGGACCTTAAGCCCCTTCCAACTAACTTCCCTTGCCCACAACTCCTTATGTGACCCAGGCTGGTCTCACACTTGAGCTCCTTCTAAGTGCTGGGATTATAGACATGTGTCACCACACCTAGCATGACCTAGCCCCTTGACACTGTAATGTAAAATGATTAGAAAACACAGGCTAGCCACAAGAATTCAAATAAAACAAGAACTGTTGAGTCAGTTCTGACCAACAAGTGCACCTGTGAACATCAACATTGACCCTGTATTCATCCTCGGAACTAGGGAGGAAATCACTATCTCCAGGGTTGTAAGACCCACAGCTCTTCCAATATCGAGAAGGCAGCAGTCAGGCCCCTTGAATTAATCATATGCACATTCCAGAGAAATCGGAAATGGCCAAGGAATGGTGTCAGAGAATGGTATCACTCTTAATGTCCACCCAACCTGTAGAATACCCACGGCTTCCATGCTTTATCCCATGTGTGACCAGAATTTTAAACAAGACCTCTGGCTCTATTGAACACAAGATGTATTCTGACAGGACAAGATGTTTCTGACAGGACTACCCTAAAACCCTGTGGCCTAACAGAAGTCCTCTTTTCCTCCTTCCTTTAAAGTTATAAGGCTCCAATCAGTAGAGTGTGAGCTAGCTCCTGAAGGGCAAGGTGATGTTTTGGGCCCTCCCCCAATGTCTGCCACACATTTCTCTATGGAGTTACCATAGCTAAGATGTGAAGGGGCAGTCAAAGAAGCCTCCTGTTGTGGTTATGATTTAGGCTCTTCTATAAAACCTCCTGTTGCGTTGTGATCTAGGTATTTCTGTGAAGATGTCGACTTTAACCTAAGGACAAACAGCAGTGGGCTGCTCATCTGCCGCTTCAATAGCTTCAGTCTCATGAAGAAGCGTGTTCAGGTCGGAGGGCAAAGGGACTTTATCGTTAAACCAAAAATCATGGTAAGTGTGTAACGCTTGACTCTACTGTTGAGAACAAGCACAGATGCTCACTTACGAACAGAGCTGTAACTAAAGCACTGGCATTGGGCAAGTGCTTTTCTGCTGGATTAGGAAGGGAAGTAACTCAAGTCCTCAGGGTCAGCTGTGCAGCCTCACCTGTCAGCCAAGTCCCAAGCAGAAAATACAAAACTGTTTCAGAGCTAAGCCTGAAAGATTCCATCAAAGCTTGCTTATTCATCTACCCACCCATCCATCCACCCAGAACTCATTAGCACCGGGCTGGCCTTGAACTCAGAGATCCACCTGCTTCTGTCTCCTCTGAGTGCTGGGATTATAGGCGAATGCCCAGCTGCAAAGCTTTATTTTTCAAGACAGCCATCTTTTTGTTTTCTCCTTATATGTAACACAAGAAATACAAATACTTGTCTGGGCTTAGTTTATATTTTTTGAAGAAAATATTGCTTCAAGCTTATAGAGAGAATTCTCTATCCCTTCCCAGGGAGGCTGCTGATCACTGCAGCATGTCGACGACTTAACTGCAGCTGAAAAACTTCTGCCCTCTGTTGTTAAATAGGATAGGGGTCAGCCCAAACACACAAGCAGCACTATATATTAAAAAAACAAAAAAAAAAAAACAAAAAAAACTTCCCTTTGGGCCTAACAGTATATTCATTAAATACAGTAACAGTCCAACGATTCTTGCTGTAACTTAAGTAACACTGGATTATTCCTCAAGTGGGAGACGGGGGAATGTAGAACAAAATGAGACATTTAAACCCTCAGGCCACTGCTATTAACACAGCAATTCCACTATAGCAACTACTGGTTTGTTTGGGGGTTTTTGTTTTTGTCTTATTTATTTTTTTGGTTTTTCAAGACAGGGTTTCTCTGTGGCCTTGGAGGCTGTCATGGAACTAGCTCTTGTAGACCAGGCTGGCCTCAAACTCACAGAGATCCACCCGCCTCTGCCTCCAGAGTGCTGGGATAGTAGCTAGTTTTTGAGATACATTTTTTTATATGTATGAATCTCTTCCCTACATGTATGTATGTATGTATGTGGGTCATGTGCGTGTGGTGCCTGATCCCCTGGATCTCGAGTTACAGTATTCATGAGCTACCATGTGGATGCTGGGAACCAAACCTTGGTCCTCTGCAAGAACAGCTAATGCTCTTAACCACTGAGGCCTCTCTCCAGCCCCAAAAGTCCTCTTTATATGGAGTTTACCATCACCACCATGACTTGAAAATACCATGCTTGACTCTCAAGAGATCACTGAGAAATTCAGAAATTCTAATGTGTGTATTTGTGTGTGTGTAAACATTCAGGTAGGGCTCAGTGCTACATGTAACTAACTTCAGGTATCCTTTGGGGGTGCTGTACATGGAAGTTATTAGTATGCGGTCCAATGGAATCTTGGACATTTCATTTACATTTGCCATGATCATCTGATTTCAGGTTTCAGAGAGCTTGGCTCCCATCTTGCCCCTCCAGTACGTCTGTGCTCCGGACAGTGAACACACTCTACTGGCAGCTCCCGCACAGTTCCTCCTGGAGAAGTTCCTTCAACACGCCTCATATAAACTCTTCCCCAAAGCCATCCATAACTTCAAGAGTCCTGTACTGGCCATCGACTGCTACCTTAACATTGGACAGGAGGTAAAGGCGCGACTGACTAGTACTGGGTGCCACGTCCATTTCTTCCCCGTTTTGGTTCCATTGATAGAGTCAATGACAGTATGACTCAAAGGCTCCCACAAGCACAGGATTGGCCAGGGACTCAGCGCTTCTTGAGAAATTCGGCGTCAGCTGCTCTGAGCAGCCTGCCCTTGTGGCAGGGACGGAAGTAGCTACTTGCTCTACTTGTTTTGACACTGACAGGTGTCATTACGTAGATTTTCTCAAGATTCGTTTCTTGAAAGGCACACCGTATCTTAGCAGATGCAACAAGAGCTCAATGATTACTGAACAAATAAGTACAAGCTTTGTACACCTTTAAAGCTGTCCTTTCTCCCTTTTCCATTCTTCACGTGCTACACCCGTTTCAGTCTTGTTTTTTAATTGCCACTTGCATCTCCAGGTTTCTGTCAATAAGTTGTTCCTTTGGGTTATCTTGAGAGCCTATTTCATTATCTTCAATAATGCAATATATCCTTATAATCAATTTGAGAAAATAAAAAAATATATACTAGAGTTGGCAATATGTTATGTCTCAGTGGGTAAACTGAACTCTAGTTCAATTCCTGCAGCCCAGATGGTGGAACCCCTGCAAGTTGTCCCCTGAACTTCATATATCCACCATGGCATATGCATGACCAAAATTAAGAGAGAAACAGAACAAAATAAACCACTCATAACCTGAACAAGAACCTTTTCCTGTCCTGGAATTTTAGGTCTTTTCTTTGCACATATTCATAAACACATTTATCCAAACACAAACTCTTTTAAGTCTTAGTGCATTCAATAAACTAAATCTAATTTAATGTTAATAATCCATGCTGTGTGTTACACCATTAATTTTATAACTACAAATTTTAAAATCAGATGATGGCTGAGTATGGAGGCACATGTCTGTAAACCCAGCATTCCAGGAGCTAGCTGGGGTTACAGAGTGAGATTCTGCCATAAAACATAAGAACCAACCATATGCCAATAATCTCAATACTAACAGCAGCTAATACTTGCTGAATACTGAAGAGACTATATTAATAATTCAAAAATAATTCTATCCAACAGGTTTTCTTACCTATGTAGATGAGGAACTATATGCCACATGACAACTAACTGAAGGAACCAGTGTTTGAATTCAAGCCAAGTTTAGCTACTCCACTGTTCTACTATCCTGCTGCTTTCCTGCAGTGTTTGTGGTTATTGTCTAGGCATGGAAGCCATAAGAATCTAAAAATTAATTCATGTTGTCTTAAGCTTTCAAAGTGAAATATCTAGTCTTTCTTATGTGTGCCTTTTTATGGAATGTGGTATTGTTTTGTTTTACTATTTATGTGTTGGGGCATATGGGCATTTTATCTGTATGTGCATCATGTACATGCCTGGTGCCCACGGAGGCCAGAGGGGGGTGGAGGATCACAGATGATTGTGAGGTACCATTGTGGATGCCAGGGATAAACCCAGGGGCCTCTGAAAGAGCAGCCAGTGCTCTTAACCACCGAGCTAACTCTCTAGCCCCAGAATGTAAAGCATTAAAAAATTCTCTCACACACACACACACACACACACACACACACACACACACACACACACACACACGAGCTTCTTAATATTTCTGTCGTAAAAATGATATACTAATTTTACTCCTAAATAAGTACAAAGCTTGAATAACCAACCCACTTACACTGAGAAAGCTTGGCTTTCACCTTGCATCCGAACTGAAGAGGAAGGCATTGACTATAGTGCTCCTAGGCAAAAGTACAGCCCCTTTCTTTGCTTTTGACATGTTTTTTCTGCTTACTACTTTCAGGTATCCATATGCTACATCAGTTCCAGACCCCACTCCAACAACGTCAATTGTGAAGGGGTGTTTTTCAGTGGACTTCTCTTGTACCTCTGTGACTCTTTTGTAGGTGCTGATCTTCTTAAGAAATTCAAGTTTCTAAAAGGTACGTCAAATTCAGCATCTTGGATGTGAATGCTATTGTCACTAGAGAAAAAAAGAATCAGGAATTGAATGGCACACAAGCAAGCAAAACTTTGGCCAGAAGTTTGGAAACTTTGATTTTAAACCAGGGTTGCTGACGTTATTGGAGAAAGAAGACCAGGTTGTTTTCAGACTAAACTAGATACAGGCGAATAATACAATCTGTAACTTAAAAAGACTTACGTGTATTGTATGCGTGCAAGAGCCTGCAGAGGACACTTAAGGGTGTGAGCCTTCTGACATGGGTGCAGGGGATTGAACTTGGATCTCTGTGAGCAGCTGTAAGCCTCTTAACCACAGAGCTCTCTCTCCAACCCTTATCTGTGACTTATTAAACAGGCCTTTACTATTTATTTTAGAAATATATGCTTCTGAGATCTAGTTTAGACAGAAGCCAGGTTGATTCTACCTAAGCATGTTTGTAAGCAGTATAAACACTCTGTCTAAAGTCAGCTGATTGGATCAGAAATGGACTGCAGAAAAAAATGCATAATTGCACCCCTAGACATACTCTTACTCATGAGTCTGGCACAGAAACTAAAGTTGTCTTAATAGGTATGCAACATAAACAAAGTTCAACTTTTTTTTTAATCTATAAATCTGGGATCACAAATAATCCTGACAAGATGACCTGAGGTCAGTGACAGAAATGACACTCAGAACACTGTATGCAGCATGAAAATGAGGAGCTAGCTCTGGGTGCTGTGTAGCAGTGGCTGTCAAGTAGGGGGAGGGATGTGCCTTGGATTTTTGGTTGTGGTCATTTTGTGAATCTGCAGTGAAGGGTGTCTTTAGCAAACAGTGAGCAGGAAGCTAGGGATACTGCTAAACCCTCTATAAGCCGCAGAACAGCTCCCAGCACACACAAGAAAAGCTAAGGTTGAGAAACTCTGTTCTAAAGACACAAGAAAACACTGGCTTCACCAGTCATGACGAGAGGAGAGAGCTGCACCTGAAGAAAACCTCCCTCTATCATCACTTTAAGCGCCTTGAAACCTTTGCGAAACTACTTGGAACAAAATTATCTACCTGTATGTTGGTTTTCAAAGGTGATAACATTCTGACTGATTTAATGTCCGCTCTTCCTGAAGGTGCTACCCTGTGTGTCATCTGCCAAGACAGAAACGCCTTACGGCAAACAATTGTTCGCTTAGAGTTGGAGGATGAATGGCAGTTCCGCCTCCGGGATGAGTTTCAAACTGCTAACAGCAGCGACGACAAGCCTCTCTACTTTCTTACTGGACGCCACATATGAGTTTTTGAAGAGACCAAAAACAACAAACATCCCTAAATGGAGTGGGACAACAATTATTGGGGATTTTTTTCCTTTAAAGTACAATCACTGTGGAGCAAAGTGCAACGTATTTATGTCTTCTCCAAAGAGCTCCCCAAATGTGACCAAGGTCATCTTTGGGGGCACCGTCCTTCTTCAGTTCTGCTGACAGGACCCAGGCTCAGGTCAATGCCACAGTGGGCAGTTATGCAATTACATAGGATGTGCTCTGCCTGTGGGAACCTGAGGGTATGTATATTCTGGAGAACAAACGTGGAGTTCGCATTGTTTTTTTCAACTACACTATGTTGAGGGGCAGGGGACTGACTGTCAGCATTTGCCAGCTTGAATGTGTTACATGAGACTCACACCACTGGTGTGGAATTAATTGAAGATTAACACTTGAGGCCTGAACCCTCAGTTTCTCTTCAGATCTGTACTTTGGTACAGTATTACTCAGGGGTCTGAAATGATAGAATGTAGAGGATATTTGTATTTAAAGAGAAGTAGCTTTGTCTTTCTCTGTGCAGTGTTAGTTTAAGATTTATAATCTTATATATATCGAAACCTTTGGCAAAATTTCCACAGGAGTCAAAAGTTTACTATTTAAACAGAACAAAAAAAAAAAAAAAAAAAACAGTAAATGCAGAGCAGGCACTGTGTGCATTTATGAAGGTTTTCTGAACTAAACTCCATTGTGTTTCCCTTTCCAGTCTGTAAGCACACCACGTCTAACAGTGACTTGTGCACAAAACTATGTGGACAAATTAGCATTCTGCAGATACGCTACCCCACTGTGTTTTAGTTCAAAGTAAGCAGTTGGTACCTGAAAACCCACCCATCAGGCTGGGATTCTATTGTGGAGTCAACTAGTCGATTTATGTGGCTCAGGCTAAGCATTATTTAAAAGACTACAACAGCTGGCTCAGGCTAAGCATCATTTAAAAGATTGTTTAACAGCTGTCTTACACTGATACACAAAAATTAATGAAATAGGCAACAAAACCACAGACAAGTTGTCCTTAATTTTATCAGTAACAGTTTTCCCAAGGAGTAAGGAAGACTCCATGAAGAGTGTTTTGGACTCATTAAAATCAGTGTATGACTAGTATCAATAGTAGGAGGCGTACATTTCTATGTATTTCTCAACAAATATTTTAATCAGAAACACTGAGAAAATATCCTACAGTAATCTATTGAAAGTTTACACTTACATTGTTCTACGTCAAGGTATCTCTTCAGGTTTTTCCTCAGCCCATGTGTATCACTTATCTGCAAGTTAAAAATGGCCATTTTTACTTGAATCTGTCTTAGGACCTGAGACTACTGAAAGCCCTGCTGAGCCTGCATTTACTGCAAATGTTAGCTGGTGGGCTTGGTTATCCAGGGATAACAAGGAGTTTACAGTTAGTGAGAAGATGGAATGTATTAGATGGGAATGGTTTGCAGATCTCTTGGCTTTAATATAGCTACTTATGTTTTAAATGTATTTTAAATTGATAATTCCTTTTAACCCCATTTTTAATTGTCCTTCAAGAGGACCTGCCTTATATGCTTACTCCTTAACTTTAGTAGAAAAAGAATTTTAGCAAAGAGGTACGTCCCAGGGCAGTCTGACTTAGATATGAATGTATCTAACTTGTTCCTGTTTTGCTGAAAGGGTCCAATGCAGGTAATATCAAGAAAGCTACTGTTTGTGCAATATTCCAATGACACTATGTAGGGTAAATGAAATACTTGAAATAATTCCACAACTATTGTGCCGGGGCAGAGGCCTCTTAGGAGATCTTACTGGCTTTTTCATTTTGAACTAAGTTACTTTAATGCAGGTATTCTGTGTTAGTTATGGCTACCCTCTGGAAATTCAAGTGATCATGAACTGTAAATACTATTCAACTCTGTTCAGGAGAAATGCCAGAATAAAGCCAAAAGACCATCACTCCAATAATTGATGAGATTCAATTTACCTGCCTCTTTTTCTGCAAAGCCTAACTTAAGGTTTGGATGCTTTAAAATTACCTTAATCATTATAATCCTTCAGTGAATGCTGGGTCCTCTTAAGGATGAAATTGCACAAGCTCAGGCCACCATGATTTGTTAACTCATGTCTTGGTGTGTTTGATTTTACCTTCTTCCGTCCCTGAGGACAGCAAGTCAATTAAGTCACACAGTAACTCACCTGCAGACCTGCTGAACTTTGGCATGTATGACAGTTCACACAAGTTACTATTGAATGTAAACTAAAAGATTAGAAAAACTATAGTCAAGTTTGGCTGTAATTTATGCAACTGCTTCTTGTAATTTCTAGAAAAGGGGGCACCTGTTGTTACTTTGTTACTGTAAAATTTTCTTAACCAAAATTTGGTGAATTTCACTCACTAGTCAAGTCTACCTCACATTTTGTTACGTCGTGTCTACAGTATGTTATTGTCTTTTCATTTGGTGAATGTATTAAAATTCCCTCCCACTCCTCACCCATTACAAAAGTTTGTTTTCTTTAAACCAATTTTCCATATGTTAAAAGGTGATATGAGCTGTGACTCTGGCAATGGCTGGTATCTTGGATGGCTCTGAGATTCTACTCTCTTGACACAATCCAAGAAAATACTAAGCAAATAGTTGAATGAAATCTTAGCGTACCTAAAGTAGCTATATACACCAAAACCTCTACTGGAAAAATTGCAGACTGCAACATAATTATAGATGGCAGACCTATGTAGAAGGCAACTATATTCACCTGTAGTCTCAACAGTTCTGGGTCTCTAAAACTTTTATTACTAATTTATTTCTAAATTCTACCTACTTTTACCAACTCTTTGTGGGGGGGGCTTCCAACTCTAATATATAAAGAACATTTATAATACTAGAATTTGAAACAAAACCACTCATTTCAACTAAAGGTCACCAGAGCAGCAATAACTACTTTCAAGTCTGGTGACAGAGGGAAGCAGGCTTCCACTACCTGATCTAAAATAACAGGCCTGAAAAGTCTCACAACACACCAACTGCTAAGCCTTGGAAGTCGTAAGGTAGGATATATGTATGACTGACTACTGTATGAATCGGACTCAGCAGTCTTAGCTTAGTAAATGAAGCTGTGTTTCCACATAACTGGTTAACAAAGTCAGACAAGCAAGAACCACTAAAATATCACGGTAGGTCTGAGACTGTGTTCATGCTTTTGGTAAATGCAGAGTTCACACTCACACATTATCAAAGTGATTGTCAACTCTGCTTTCTCCAGTCCTTGTATCAAAACCCAAGCTTCCTACAATACACTAGATACCTGCAAAGAGGATCAACAACTAACATTTATTATGTAACCAGCAATTATATAAACTTCTCAAGTCTGACTATGGCCACTGGCACATAATGTGACTGCTGCCTCTAACACCCCACAGAGACTAGCATCAAAGAGACAACCTTCTTCTCAACAGTGGTGTCCCTTCCATGGCTCCTGGGGCTGTTTCCTTCATTTCCGTCACTCTTTTCTGACTCTCTCCTCACTCGCACCGTTTCAGATCCTCTCAAATGATGGGCATTCCTTGCAGATCTCTATATTCTTTTTACTACCCCAAGATGATCTCATATAAACCTCCAGATAACAGCTTGAGTCCAAACACCTATATAAACAACTATGAAAGTGGTAATTCTACTTGCAAATTGTATTACCACCTTAAACCTTGACCAAAATTGAACCTGCCCATCCCCATCAAATCCTCCCAACCCATTTTCTGTTTCCCTCTTAGCTTTTACCTTATCTACTGATTATTTGCCACAGTTCATTTACCTCTGGCAGTTAGAAATGCTTACCAGTGCTTTAATTCCCTCTTTAGTGCACACCCATCTCTTCACTTTCATGCTTATATGAGAGTCTCAGGTTTGAAGAGTCTGTATAAGCTGCTTGTGTGCAGTCCCTTTCAACTCCCAAGTCTTTTCTTATACACTCTATTTTGGGCTGGAAAGATGACTCAGAAGAGCACTGGCTGCTCTTCCAGAGGACCGGGGTTCAAATACTAACACCCACATGGTGGCTCACAATTGTAACTCCAATTCCAAAGGATGTGACACCCTCACACATCTGAAGCTAGGGTGCAGTGGGGGATGGTCTCCCCTAAGGTTATGGCAATCCTGTTCCTTTCCTAGAGAGTTGTTACAGCTGAGCTTTGCTCCCCCTCCCCACCCCACCCGCTGCTTACGGGGGCTTCCCAGCAGAGCTCGCTTCTACTCTCTGGCCCAAAATGTTGCTTCTGCTTCTCTCTGCTAAAAGGTAAACCCCAGCAGAATGTAGCAATTTCCTCTGGTTCAGTGTGAAAATTATTTTTCTGCTCAGCCTTGCTCAAGCCCCCCAAGGGAATGTCTCAGCAAGGTTTTTTTCTGCTCCATCCCTTAGGGGACAGAAGTCTCAGCAGGAAAGACTGTTTGGGAAGGAGTCCAGGAGATTGGCTGCCTCTGCCAGGGTGGTGAAGGACAGACAGGCTGCAACTGAACTGGCAGAGGGACTTATATAGATAGGGCTTCTAAAGCGCAGTGCTTTCCCAGGGAGATTTGCTACTCAAGGGTTGGTTAGTTTTCCTGCTAAGGGGCAGAGTTGGCTCTGGTTTCAGGGTCAAACTGTGCTTCTTTCATTGGTCCTTTTTAGCTTTTTCACTCTATTTTCAGGGCTAAGGCAGATTTCTTTTACTGGTTCTGGTTCCAGGGCCAAAGTGTGTTTCTTTGGCTCTTTTCAGAGTCAGGGTGGGTTTTGTTTTGGTTTTGGTTCTGGGTTCATAGCTAAAAGTGTTTCTTTCACTGGCTCAGGTTTCAGATCTAGGGTGTGTTTCTTTCACTGACTCATGGTCAGGGTTCATGGTCAGGGTGCTAGATTTCATGCTCAGGGATTGGTTGGTTTCTTTGCCTGGCCCTTTTACCTTACAACCATTCTTAGAAAATACCTAGTTTACAAAATTTGAGGGGCTAGCTTTTAAAAACTATTATTAACATGAAAAATATCTGTCTTTCCCAGCAATGACAACATTTAAAGCAACCAATCATTATTTACCATTATCTCCCCTTAGGTCTTCATCAAGCATGGGCTGCTAATTCAAGTAATGTGTTAAGGCTCACATGGAAATGGGACCTGTATTAATGAAGTTTACAGTACCAGAGAGCTAACACTATTCCAAAATTTCACTGTACTTACAAAAAGGAAAATAAAGATGACTAGACGAGTCTCCACCCCAAGGGAGAATGATAATGCCAAACGTCAGATCAGGGGCTGAAGAGACGGCTCAGCGGTCAAGAGCACTTACCGTTCTTGTAACGTTCAGTTTCTGGTTACACATGGTACACACACATAAACTCAAGCAAGCACACATACATACAAATAAGAAAGATAAGAGTTAGCAGTAGCACATCTCAGCATTCAGGAGGCAAAAGCAAGCAGATCTCTGAGTTCAGTTCAAGGCCAGCCAGGGCTACATAGTGAAACCCTGTTTCAAAATAATAATAATAATAATAATAACAACAGAGGAAGAGGAGGAGGAGGAGAATAAGGTGATGATGACTGGGGCTGGGAGGAGGAGATTTGGGCTACAGTAAGCTCAGCAGTTAAGAACACTAGCTGCTCTTACAGAGTTCTATTCCCTGCACTGATAGGTAGCTCACAACCATCTTGTAAATCTACTTTGAGAAAAATCTAATCCCAGGGACCAGACATGCATATGGTACACACACATACACATTCACATATTCACATAAAATAAAATGTAAAACCCTTAGAAAAAGAAAAAAAAACTGCATCACTCCTTGAGACAGAATGGTTACATTCCCAACCATTCTATTCATGGAAAAAGAATAGTCTTATACCACTCTATAAATAACAAAAGAACAAACTTATGGGAATAAAAGTACACTGACTGTTCATCACAAGTCCCTACATTTTAATAGGTTTTCAATGGAGACATGATCATCTCAGCACATAAAGATAATCTAACTGAAACCTCAGTGGTACTTCATTCTTGGGCTGTGGTTCTTTATTTCCTTGTAAGTTAATTAAGTACCATGTTATTAGAATAGTGAGGAATAATTGACAAACTGATGAAAACTACCTTTAAGAAGTCTGTGTTTTAATATTATTTCAGTCTCAAACCTAAAAAACTCCCTGAAAGGGTACAAACATTCAACACAACATGTCTCAGTACATTTATCAGTTAGAAAAAGCTATCAAGTATTTTATTATTTTATTCTACATTATATACAGGTCATAAAAGGCCACAGCAGTTTTTCAACATATAAACCCTTTAAAAGTAGAGGGCACTATGAAGGATAGACAAGTATCAAAATGAAGTCCAGTAATGAGGGCTTATACTCAGTGCAGTATTTCTGAGGAATAACAACGCTGATACCAAGCCACCCATACTTAGTTAACAACTATTCTGTAGTTGTGACTCTAGTCATTTATGGCGCCACATGAGAGAGCGTGCCACTGCCACCATCAGTGACAGAAAAGTAAGCAATGGAGACTCTCTATTTTAAGTTCTTTCCTTTGGAGCTCTCCTTTCCCCAGAGATTTTCTTAGAGTATACTTTAGTAGCTTCAAATTCTTAAGCACACAATACTGTACTGTTCTCGAGTAACTAAAAAACATTGGTTTCCACTCTGAAAATACAATCTTTAAACCCATAACTGGTATCAGCAGATCAATATAAAAAATACAGTACCAAGCTACACTGGTATATTTCCATATTAAGAACTTCAAAATATACTTATCACTGAGACCATAGTCCTTGCATTAATTTTCAGTCCACTATGAACAATTATCTGCTGCATGTAAACATGTCTAAATAAGTATAGATAAAATACAATCATAAATTTCTGTAAAAGATAATAAAATATCTTCTTTAAAAAACAAAACAATAACAAGCTATTACTGCATTGTTTCCAATTTTATGAAAATGGAACAACCATATGGCTGTTGCCAGTCCTGAGTTCATTTGTAATAAAAATGGCCCTAGTTCCTGGTTAAAGTCAGCAACCAATTCTCTCTCTTCAAAAGATGTCTTCTGTTACAGTAGGCAAGATCTGGATTAGGTGGTATTCTGTCCATTAATAAAATTATAGACCAGAAACTGACCAGTGCCACAGTACTGTGTTGCAAACAACTTTCCATCAGGAGTGGGATCTGAGAAAGCAATTTCTTCTTTACTCAAATATGAGCCATAAATAAAGTTACTCCTATAAAAAAAAAGAAGAATGGGGGAGAGGGAAGATTGAAAAATTAATCTTTCTGTTACTGAAACTTAACAACCTATCAAATTCATTTAGACAGGACTTAAGCAATGATATATTATTTTAAAAAACAAAGTACCTGTTCATCTTAAAGTATAATTTGAAGTAGCAAGATTTTTAGAAAAGCAATAATTATAAAATAACATTTGCCTAAAATCATATCGCATGTACCCAACAAATAAGAGCTGAAGAACTTCTCAATCAA